AGGGCCACCAACGCGAGCCGCCGGCGTTGCTTCTGCTGCGCGCTCGCGCGCGCGGTCCGCCGCATGTGAATGGGAATCTCGAGACGACTGAACGCGTCCCTCCTTTTCCCGTTCGCTGGCTTACGCGAGGACGCGACGTGTTTTCGGGCGGGGACGGCCTGTGTACCCGACGCAGAGCCGACGCCGGGCGCTCGGCGCATCTGGAAGTGCTTTTCGACGTTTCCCACCGGGAAAGCGCGCGACGCCGAGGGCGTCGAGTTGTCGGAGCGGCGCGCTTCGATCGATTTCGGAACGGTCGGCGTCGTCGAGGCGACCCGCTGCCAAACGAAACGGTCGAAAATAAACTCGCCTCGCTAATGAGCAGATCGAAAACAGACAAAGATTCGCGACGGGGCAAGCGAAAAACAATCGAGAGGCAAGAGTGACGTATCAAAACGAAATTCATTCCAAGATTTTTATTCCGAGCAGCAGCAGCAGCAGCAGCAGCAGCAGCAGCGCGAGAACAAGAAGCGCGCAAAAGATGTTAATATCAAGATGAGGAAGATGAAGAAACGCTCAAAGTGGAGGGGAAGTAACGACGACGACGTCGCTCTAAAGGGGGCAGAAGCAGAGGAAGATGTGAATTTGTGTTAATTCCTTCTTCCACTTGAATCGCAGTACGTTTCGAAGCGTTTCTTGCTCGCGCGTTCGTGCTTCTCATGCTAATCCATTATGTCGCGAGCGAGTCGATGTAACTCATACGGCGTTGCGAATTTGACGACCTCGGCTGCAAAGCAAGTTGCCTTGATAATCGTCGCGACAAACGCAAACTTAACTTGAAGTTTCTTTCAATTATCAAGCTCGAAATACAATGAGTTGCCGGTAAATTTATAGCTTGACAAAAGTATCTCAATCCAATTTCACAACAGAGAGAGAGAGAGAGAGAGAGAGAGAGAGAGAGAGAGAGACTCACGCACACAAAAAACAAATCTGACGGCTCCTCGAACAAAAAAAATTGGTCGGTCTTTTCATTCGAAGCATGCGCCTGCGGCGATGATTCATAATTGAGAATTCGAAAACGTCACAGGCATTAGCGACTATACCCGTGTAGTACCTCGCTGGAAATTACAGTTAAGAGCCGAGTTTGTTTTCTCCATCTCCGTGTGGGATGCAAACAGCCATTGTTACGGTTATTTAATAAAACAGCAATAACAACAAGCAAAGCAGGTTAGAACGGGCGTGACAAGCTTGGCCGATTAGATCTTCTTATATTGCGAATATCTCACAATCGTCGTGTTTTCTCGAAAAACAGATTCGCTACGATGGAATCCACGCATTGGTAATGTAGAATTTCCCGTCACACGAAAACGAAAACTAACGAACCTCGACGAGTCTTCCTGCTGCGATCGAACTACGACATTTCCAAAAAGAAAAAGAATGAACGGTTCGTTTCCAAAATGAGATTTTTCAACGAGATGAGATAAGTAAACAAAGTGCCAGGAAATCAATGAAACGCCCACTCGATCATTCATCCCTGCGTAAGTCGAGATACGTAATTCCCTCTCTTTCTCTCGCTCGAGAGTTCGCCGGCTATATCCTTTTAGGGCTCGGAGAGAATGGAGCGTGTGCGTATGTTTGCTCGACGCACGTTTTCTTTCCGAGGGAGAGAGGAGAGAGAGAGAGAGAGAGAGAGCACGTGGACCGGTCCGGCTTCTTGTGCTTTCGAGCGATTTTTACACGAGGTCAACTCTTTCTTCTTCGCGAGTAAGCCGTTGGCGAGAGGCGACCATAACAAATACGTTTGTTTTCAACGGAGAAAAAGCAAGAAAGAAAACAGCTGCGAGTATCGTAAAAGCGTCCGGAGCGAGGCGAAAATAAAGAAAAATCGAGCGTCCTCGTCCCTTACACGCGCACGGAGCGTTTAATAAGGTCGCGCGAGCGAGGATCCCGGCGTCTCGAGTCGCCAAATTAAAATCGGAGAGTCGGTTCGTGCCGATCGAGGACGTCGAGAACAGAGGAAAAGTCCCTTGTTTCTATCGCTGGTCGCGGCACGAGCGCGCGAGAGGAGTGTAGCGTCGGCTTCACTCGGCGAGTATATAGTGCTCGAGGAGTCGGAGGAATGCGGTCGCGTTGGTGGGGAAGGAGAGAAGAGGCGCAACAGAGAGAGAGAGAGAGAGAGAGAGAGAGAGAGAGAGAGAGAGAGAGAGAGAGAGAGAGAGAGAGAGAGAGAGAGACGCGAGCAAGGACGGGGAGGTATATTACAACTACCGAGTGTTATGCTGTATCCTTTAAAGTCGTTGACTTGAACAGCCGCGGCAAGGCGGAATCAGCTGCGTCGTCTCATTGTTGGCCGGCTCGCGGAAAAACTCGTTTCCCCGCCGAAAACCTGCTTCACCTCGTCGCGGCGACTTTCGTTCCGCGAACAGGCCTCTCAATTTGTGCACCGTCTGCGCGCACGCAGATCGCGTCGTTTAAAAGTCCGCGCCGCGCGCCGATTGCCAATTTCCAACGCGCGGCCTTTCCAATGGAAACTACTCGCGCGAGCGCGCGCTCTGCGTTCGTTACGTAAATTTTTGCGGGCGCCGGGCGCGCACCGGCACGCCAAGCGAGAACGGCGCAGCAGCGCGGCTTTCCAATCGAACTCGGGGGGCTAAATCGCGGCGGAAGCGTTTCCTCGGGGCCAGACGAGAAGCGGCGCGCGCCGTCCGCTCCGGCGATAAATCTGGCCGTTTAGCGAGCGCGAGCGGCGGCGCGAGCGGCGGCGCGAGCGGCGGCGCGAGCGGCGGCGCGAATCGCCAAAAAGGCGAGCGGAGGCAAAACGAGCCCGCTGACCCGCCTGTCTAAGCTGGCAGAAGCCGACGCGGCCGAGTTTTCGCGGGCGGACACGCGCGCGACGATTTCGAAAGGCCGCACCTGCGAGCGGCTTCTATTCGCGCCACTGGGTCAGCCGACGAGAAATAGATCCATCGGCCTGATCCGCGCGGCTCGCGCGCGTTGTTGCGCTGGCCCGCTTCCTTCCTACAACTCGCCAAGCTCTTTCGACGAAAAGCCCCCCCCGATTCTCTCGGCTCTCGGCTGTGCGCGCAGCCCCCTTAGCCGCGTTCGACCGGCGGCGTTTCGCGGAAAAAGCGCCGCATCGCTCTGCGCACAGCGGACTTTTCCAATCAGCGGCGCTGCAATTACTCAATCGGCGTCGATTAGCCGCGCGCCGGCGAAAAATCAAAATCTAATAAGTCTCGGGCGCGCGCGTTTCAAGTCGACGTAGTGGGGGAGGAGACGCACGTGGCTTCGGTAATCCGATACGAGAGAGACGCGAGATCGAGAGGACTATGGATTTCGCATTTTCATCGACATTCGTACTTTGCGCGCAACAGAGGGCTTCGTTGTTTACCCGCTTAATTTTGCACTTACACGGCTGAGAACGGCTTGTTGCGACGACTTCTCTTTCTTTTACGCTAACGAGGCGAGAGAAGGCGTCGGCGTTGGTCGTTTTGTAAGAGCTGGAGATCGAAAGTTTCGTCGAGTGAGCGAATTACGGTCGTCGGTTAATTGCGCCTTCAAATTATTTATCGGCGGCAATGACCATCCGCGAAATTCCCACACGTCAATTCGAAATCGCGAGAGCAAAGCGACGCGACGTTGCGTCTCCCGTTGACGCGCTGTAAGCGTTACAAAAGTGAAGCAAGGTGCGCGTATGTGTCGGAAAACTGGTTCCCCGGAACATTTGTCGAGAGATCTCGCGACCTGCCTGCTTCTCTCGCTAATCTTTCCCTCCTAGATTCGAAAGGTATTACGTGCGAAAACGAAAGTTGCCGTACACTCGCGCACAAAAGTCCTCAAAAGCAATTAGCACCCCGAAATAGTCAGCCCTTAAAAGTGCATTTCACACTGACGCAACTGACGCGCGAGTTTGTCGCCTATTACGGCGAAAAAAAAAAACGTCGTCTTGGCCAATCTGTCTTTTTTCTCTCGCGGCGTTACTGCTGCTGCTAAATAATTAATGTGCGCGAAAGTAACGTACTTCTTTTTTTTCCGCAAGAAAGCGGTCGTTAAAAGGTACATACCTTCCCGTTCGGGATAAAGAGAGAGGAGTTTACGAGTACATGCCGCGAAATTTATCGGCGATAAGCCCTTGCTTATTTTCTTTCTTACATTTTAAAAATTTGATGCGAGCGACAGCTACCGAGCACCTAACTTTTTATTTTTTAGAAGCTGTAACTATTTTCGAGCGAGTTGGAGATACGAAGAACAGTAGCTTTGGCGATTAATTTACTCGTGATATTCGAGCGAATATACGTGGGAGAAATAAAAAATAAAGTATTTTTCGAAACCAGACACACATAGTCAGCTATAAATATGCCTCCAAGATCAGCATTAAGTGCCGAGTTAAATTATTTTTACCGATCGTGAGCACTTTCTCTTCTCGAAAAATTCAACGACCGTACGAAAAAGTCGAAGAGCAACAATTTTTTTCACATGTGCACCGCTTATTAACCATTCATCGCGCACTCTTAGAACCTTAAAAATCTATCGTACGACATTTTCCCAATAACGTTAAAGTCACAACAAACAAACTACCGGGAATTGATAAAGTTCCTATCACAGCAACAACGTCGCGAACAACGGCGTCGCACACGTTAAACGTCAAAGGTTTTGCAAAAACACGCGTCACCAAGACACCACCTGACACAATGTTTAACTATGTAGATAAGCAATAAAAATTCTCGACGTGCCCAATTAAGTCTCTGACTAATCCAAAATTCCTCGTCTCTCTCTCTCTCACACACACACACACACACACACACGCGCGCGCGCGCGCGCACACACACACACACATACGCAATCGCCTATTTTCTTCTCTTTCGCCGGCATTATGATACGACGACGCCCCGCGTTCAAGAGAAGCACTCATCACTCGTATGTTCTAATATACATTCGAATAATTCCATTGTTTCTCTTTCTTCTCCTCGTCGTAGTTCAATGAAAAAAAGAAAAGAAAATTCGTTTTTTCTCATTCTCACCTTCGTCGAGTAGACGCTCGACGTGTATGAAGACATTGGGAAAGGCAGCAAGCTGTTTCCTGTCCTTGAGTAACTGCGACAGGTAGTCGGCGATGCTTTGCGTAGTGCTTATAGTTTGATCGCACATCTTGGCTGCTGTGTGCTGTAGCTAGCTCTCGACCGAGTTAAAATGCTAATCAGTTTCTAACACACGACGAGCTTTGAGTTTTTCCTAACCTCGCAGCATGAGTGCAGAGTGAGAGAGTAGCAGCTACACTACTCGCGGAATTTCAGCCTCAAAAGAGCGAGCTGAGTGGAAAGAGGTTATGGCTCTCTTGCGCTCGGTTATTTTTTTTGGGCCTTCTCTCTCTCGGAGCACGCACTGATATATTGCACGGCTGCTCAAACTGAACTGACGAAGGCTTTCGACTTTGCTGCTGCTGCTGTTTATTGCAAGGAAAAACACACATACACACATATACGAGGTTCGGCCCCGCCAGCGAGACAGAGACAGACTGAGAGGATTTTCTGAGGGCCAGCAGCAGCAGCAGCTTGTGTGTATCGCACTCGCTACGAGAGGAGAATAGAGTGGGGGTGTGGATAAGTTAACTCGAGCCCGAGTGGGAGAGAAAGATGACTGCTTAGGCGTGTCGCTGCCTCGTGCACACATACACGCGCGATCCAGCACGCATGCGCAGCTCCGAGCTCGCGCGCTGCGTTGCATACTACGCAGGCGCGAGCGATCACTTTTCTGGCCTGCAAGAGTTGAATACTGATGACTGATCCATAAGAGACGCAGGCGGAAATCTTATATTGCGGAAGATTGACGGCTGTCGCGCGCACGCGTGCGTATGTGTGCGATCGTCTTGGGCTGTACTTTTTAATGTCGATCGACTGGTCAAATAATTCTTTTTAAAAATAATGCTCGCTCCAAAATGCAACGACGGCATGATCAATTCTACGCGATCGCAACGATTTCCCAACAGGTAAAACTTCGAGATTCAAATCGGTAAGTTATTGCGAATAAACAAATTGATAATCGATGCAACGGGCAATTAATCCGCGGTCACACGGTTCTCGCATTACGAAGTGGCGTAAATTCCCGCAAATTTATTCTCGGATGGAAAGAAAAGGAAGCGAACGTTCGATGCCTAATTTATCTTGAATGATGCTTTACCAATAGAATTGCCGCAACAAACTCTAATGCATACGTTTCCAGAAAATTCATCGTCGTAAACATCTCTCCATATTTTCAATCGCTCGGTTCATCGAGCGAGGAACATCGATCAGAACACGGAATTCCATCGCGAGGAAAACAATCGATCGCGCGCGCTCTAAAGTGCGAAAGCCGCGGAGGCGAAAAGAGAGAAAGAGAAAGAGAGAGAGAGAACTTACACACAGTCGCCCTCTGCCCATATACGGTTTGCTCTCCTCCTCGCACACGTAGACGTAAAAACCTCTCTCTTTTTCTCGACTTCTCTTAACGCCAATGAGACGAGAAATGCGCTTCCTTTTTCAACGCGACGGTACACTTGGCGATTTGTTATAGAGACGCTTTCAGAAAAGGTATGACATTCCTTTTTTTTTTTTTTCGAAACACGATATATACTAAGATGCGGGTTGGAAAACCATACTTTTTACGGGACTATTAAAAAACATTTATATGCATGTTTTAATTGCAAACAAAACTTGCGGTATGTCGGAAATATCACGGCTCGCGTTGAGTCGGAGCCGCTACATTTTAATGATGTCGACATTCGAATTTCTTCAAACGAAAGGCTTTGTTTCCAACTGTTACAGTCATTAAAAAAATATATAAAGTGTCGCAGATATTGTATAACCGAATCGACCAATACAGGCGTCGCGCATTGCTCAAACAACTAATTTCCCAGAGTAATCATTATAACCATTACCCGCAGCAAATGGCTCTTAAACCGTCGCATCGTATCCAAATTACAATCGCGCGCAACATGAAAGCTTATTAAGTACCTTCCCGGCAATCGGAAGCGAGAAAGAATAAAAAAAAAACGGAATCAGCCCACGCGGCAGTTTTTCGCGAAAGCGGGCAAGCGCGTAAATACACGCGTACGACTGCGCTTGCACTTATACGATTATTACATCCTGTCGTGCTGCGCGGAGTATCTGGCGTGTAGCATAAATAATCGTCGTATCCCGAAATCCAAATCAATCTTGAATTAGACGCGTGGGCTCTCTCTCTCTCTCTCTCTCTCTCTCTCTCTCTCTCTCTCTCTCTCTCTCTCTCTCTCTCTCTTCGAATTCGTAATGAGTCCCGTTGCTCGCTTTGTCGCGCGAAAAAAGCGTAGGTTCGCAAATCTGTGATAGTTGACCAATCAACTCTGTTTTTTTTCTTTTTTTTTTTTTTTGTCGTCCTTTCGAAACCTTCTCTTTTGTGCGCTCGCCAAACTTTCTATTTCCACGTATGTGTGACGAAGGATGCGCGCTCTGAGTCCGGTGGATCACGGGCAAAAGGTTTTCGTGGAAGTTTACGTTCCTCGGGGCGTGTGGGCGTGCTGCGATCGTGCATAGCCACCGGAATGATCTCGACTCCGACTCGGCGCTCGTCACTTTTGGCCAGTAGTCGTTTACGCATACGGCCATTACGCTTCGTAAAACTTATCTGTGCATCTGAAAGAATGCTCGTTAAACAACGCGCTAAACGACGTTCATTTAGCGACCGCTCGCTAAACCGCGCTAAATTGCATTTTTCCTCTTGCGACGCGAGCAAAAATCAATGAAGACTCGTCAAGACCGTTCGCAAAGCAAAGATCCGTAGCGATCGATTGAACGTGGAAATAGAGCGAGAGGGAGAGAAACGGCGAATTCGAGATTCGCGGAATAAGACTTGCGCGAGATGACTCTTTACCGCAATTGCGATACGCAACCAGAAAGAGAGAGAGGGAGAGAGAGAGAGAGCGTGTTACTTTGCTCCTTGCGGAGCGGAAAAAAACGCGTAATACGTGTAATGAGAAAACAATGGGACGGAAATTATGTATGCGCGTAACGTAACGATCGATAAATCATCTTCGATCCCCTCGGAGATTATTGTTCTCGTTGCGGAAGAGAAGTCGACGAGAATGCACCGAGTTTCGGCCGCGCGAAAACTGGCGAAAATCGCGACGCACGCTGCGCAAGCGCCTCGACCCCATCGCGCGGGGATTCCCCCAAGTTTCGCAGTGGACTCGCCCCTCGCGAGTTCGCGAAGCCTGAAAAATCTCGAGTGATTTTCATATCCCGACGCTGGAAGCGGCAAAGCGGTGTACGAAATCGATCGTGGCGCGACGTTTCGCTGAACGACGAGACAAATACGTTGATCTGTATGGCGCGTAAAGCGGCGCTGCGACGTTCGCACGCTCCGAATAGGCCGACAATTACGACGACAATCACTGCACGCGCAGCCGAGCAAAAGCGAGAGTCCGCGCGGTGAGCGAGCGGCTGCCGCTGCAATTTGCTCGATGACAAATGCTAACCATTCGATTCGCACCTGAAACAGAATACGCGAATGATAAATTATCGCGTAAACGCCAGTAAAGATGAGGTATCTTTGCTTTGGCTTCTGCGCGATTCGTGTGACGCGTGTATCATTGAGAGCAGACGCGCGCGCACGAGTATTGCAGCTGAGATTTCGAAAATGACCGTGCCTCTCGCTGGAAATGCAAATTGACGTGGCGATCATTTGCACGTTTCACCAAGCGACGGAAAGCGTACAATATTTTCCACGAGCTTGCACGATAACCTGTGATTATTTCTATGATTATCGTACGGTGTTGATTTCGCGGCTCTTGTATGGTATAAACGAGCGAGCTCTACAAAAACCGTCAACATTTTGACGCTATAATCGCTCTTACTCGCACGCACCCGATGACTGGCGTTCGTCGATTGCATTTCTCGATCTGAAGTTAATCTAAGTTACACGTGTTCTCAGCCGCCGTAACATAACTCTCGGCGAATGCAAGCAATTATACGTTTCACCTGTAGCGCAGAGAATATCAAGCGATACATATGTAAGTCATGAACGATCCCATCATTCGTGGAGAAAGATATCAAGCGCGCGCCTGAATCGCGTGGAAGCTCCCGGCGTCTCCACCTTAAGCGACAATGGAGCAGCGGCTCGTTGCCCACGAGAAAACCAGCGAGCGACTCCTCCTTTGCTTGGCCATGACGCAACGACTGGAATGCCTGACCGAGTTGCGAGCAGAAGCGCATGGCTCATCGGTGCCGCGCGCGCGCGACTACACTACAACGTCTTCCCTTGATGGCGCTATTTACAAGCCGCTAAAGTGGCGAACGTCGCCGCGCAAGATGTATTCTGGACCGAGATTTGGACTCACCGTCGCCTCGCGCGGAGCCGGGAGTGGGCGCGCGAGCCGCGAGGCTCCGACGCTTGGAAACAGCACAATTAAAAGGCTCGGAGAGCGCGGCCCACGTCGCGCGGACGATCGCGAAAGATGAAAGATCCGATAGCCCGGGGCGCTGTATGCATGCGCTCCTCGTCCGGATGTCGTACGATATAATCCGGCGACATTTATCGCGCCTTCGCTTAACGATCACCGCTCGCGAAGTTCGGCCGTTGCTCGTGACTTTTGCAACGCGCGGCACTCGCCAAAGTCCGCGCGGACGCCGAGCGATGTATTTGGTTTGCCGCGGCATCCGATTCGCGTATTCGCCCACTCGAGCCCCTTAAAAATACCATTTTCAAAGCGCATAACGCTTATTGCCAGGCGATTCGAATTAACATTTCCAGCACATTAAATTGGCAACCTTGGTATAATTTGCGAGACTATATACGCGGCGAGGCGCGACTATCATTTTTTGCCTACATATCGGGAATGGGCGCGAGCGTGGGCGCGAGATGACTGGCCATAAAAGCTCCCAACTTTTGAGCCAACGTCGAACCGACTGGATCTGTACGCGTGCTGGCTTATACGTCCAAGGTGTAGTTTGAATGGCAAGTATTCTTCCGCCCGATACATTCTTATTTTATGCTGTTCCCGATAAAACGGACAGCTGTAAGGCTGAATCGTATATCGGTATTAGAGACGGATAGCGTGGAGTATTTCCCAACGGGTTTTTTAACGACCAATCGTTATTTAATTGAACGATCCCTCGTTCGCTTCTAACTTTACACCAACAAGTCCAAACCCGAAAATGAGAAGAGCCTCGGACGTGCGTCGAAAAAAAAAAGACAAACAAAAATAGGCGTCGCGCGCGGCGAAGCAAGAGGGACCCGTTGAAATACAAGAGAATGAAAAGTGAGTTGATCGCTCGCGCATACGCCCACGCGAGCGCCTTTACATTGCGATGCTTTTTCGGCCAGAAATGGCCTGGGCTCTCTTTCGCTTCTCGGCGTGGGCTTCCGTCGTTGCATTCGAATGAGCGCCGAAACGATGACGATCCAGAAAGGCGTTAGCGAGGCCCGTGCCAAAGTTTCGCACCGAGTCTCCTCGCTGTTATATGCTCGGACGCAGGTGCGATTTTGCAACGCGCCGTTCAGATCTATGACTGACAGCTCGCGCGAGATTATGAATTCCCCGTGCGCGGGATTGCGAGCGCGTGGGTGTGTTCTCTTGGGAAAAATAAGCCTGCTGTACAATTTGCTCGATTTGCATATCGAGATGAATTAACTCGAGGCGGCTTGGAGTATAGAGTTCGAGGCGAAACAAGAAAAATCGCTTTAAACCTTACGACCTCGATCCCCACGTTGAACGGGAAAAAAAGAACAGAGAATCTTCCATTCGCGCGACTGCTGCATGCGAATTCCTCTCGTCGAGAGCGCGACCGTTATGCGCGTTGCATGCGCGCGCGCGCACGCTCGCATATATATGCCGCTTATCGCTCGAGGGGACAACGCAGCGTTCGCGGTTTCGATGAAAAGCCAAGAGGTGCGCGCATCGACTAAAGTTTGCTCTTGCGATGGCGAGCCATGTCCGAAAACGAGTCTATCCTCCTGTATGTTTGTCTTTCTCTCTCTCTCTCTCTCTCTCTCTCTCTCTCTCTCTCTCTCGATTGCCATCCTCTTCACTGACAATTTTGGCGGTGACGAGCGCGCGCCCAATACTTCGAGAATACGAAGGAAGTGGTGCGACAAAAATTACGAAGAAGCGCCAAGGGGAAGAGATTCATTCTTCGTGTTTTTTTTTCCCGGATTTACCTGTGTACGAAGAAACCGAGCGAGAGGTTACGGTAATATCCGGTTAGTCCAGTCGCTGGCGCGGCTCGTTCGCGAGCATTTCTTCAATCGCAGCTGTTTACGACACCGCCCGTGCGCACACTGCAGCAGCAGCAGCAGCAGCAGCACGCATCTTGCAACATCTACGCGCACATCGACGGTCGCTTTACGGGCGGAATCTCGAGATTTCCGCTTTTCTCGCGGGTATGAATTCGCTCGAAAGCTGTTGTTAGCGCAACGACGAAAAAATATACAGTATATAAGAAATAAATAAAAATAGCAAAGACGCGCGCGAGAGAATAATCAAGGTGTCGTCGGGTGGCGACTTGTTACACGATCGTTCAACATTGTAACTATTGGCCAACGCCACCGACGATTGACCAACAGCCATCGTGAATATCGGTACGTGCATATTTACAGGAGCCGCAAGCGCATCGCGATTGAGAAAGCGCTCGAGCAGTGGAGCATTCATATATATATATATATATATATATATATATATATATATATATATATATATATATATATACTCTGTCTAATCTTCCTAATGCGGAGCAGCTTTCGAAACGACGATTCCAGAACATCTCGGCCTCTCTTTATCCGCGCAAAACGCGGACCTCTCGAAACGAAATCTGCCCCGCGCGCTTGAGCCTGCATTCAAGTCCAATCATCCGTCGTTCGCGCACGAGACTTCCTCGTCTTGGGCCCGGAGAAGAAAAAATCGCGCGGCCGCGTGCATCGTCTGCCGCGCGCGAGAAAGCAAAGCTCGGAGACTTGACGCAATAGTGCGCGTTCCCTACATGGACAGCCGAGATAGCTCGGCCGTGGCACGTGGGACGATGATTATTCGCGCGTGGGCGAGCTCTGCTATATGGGGTTTCGAGGTCGCGCAAGGACAACGCGGCTGTGCCGTAGAGAAAATGAATCTACATAGAATGCCATTCTTTTCTTTCCTCTTGTCTCTTTCTCTGTGGCTTACGCCGCTCGTCAACGTGCTCGACGAGGGCCTTATCGATCGCGGCTGTGGCGATTGATTTTCGCTTTGCTTGTCTTCGCGCACCAAATCGAAGCTACGTTTCTTGCGGAAGTCAGTAGCTAATCGGACATTTGGATTGTTTTGATCGTTTTTTTAGCGCGCGCATCGCCGAAGAAAACCTCAACTGTTTTGAGCTCATCTGGTGCATCAACGCACAGCGAAACTTTTCATGAAAATTCCTATTCGAATTGCGCCAGGAAAGAATCTAAAACTTAATGCTTCCGATGGCAAGGAAAAATAGGAAATATGATTTTTACAAATACGTTACACATGAATTTAAGAACAATGTTCATGAGCTTGAAAATATATGTTTATATATAACTTTGTCAAAAATAATGAATCGTACTCTATTTCAAGAAATTATAAAGGAAATCTGTCCCACGGATACATCGAAAAAGTAACCCCATGAAATAACTATGGAAAAACTATTTATCCAATATAATAATCAGAGTGTCACTTGGTACCTACATTTCTTGTTCACACAAATTAAAGAAGCATTCTTTAAAATAAAAATATTTCAATCAATAATCATTGACCATCTGTACAAAATCGCTACTCCTCCCGATCGTCCATTCATCTCGTGAATTGTCTGCGATCGGTTGAATGCCGCTTGCCAACGGTCCGGAACGTCTTGGTGCGTTGCATACGTTTAACAACACCAGGTTGCTCGCTGTTGAGCTGTTTAAAGTAGCCGTAACCACCACCACCCAATCTCTTACGTGGTCTGGATTCTTTGCTTACACCGATTTCTGTTGGGTTTCGCTCGTTAAGGAAAACTCACATTCGCTTACGAGCAAATATACAAGAAGGAAAAGATTGATCGGATTGATCGATCATTTTTTAAAAAAGGATACTCAAATCGCAGGCTGGTGGCGAGGCAAATCCAAAGGATTTGGCGACCTGGCTGAGGTCGAGCGTATTGATGTCGAAGATGGTCTTGAGGTGATGCGAGTCGTACGCGCGCACGTACGCTTTGAACGCCTCCTTCGCCGACATGTTTAGGAAGTAGTTCTTCGATATCAACTTCTCCAACTATGAAAACGCAAAAAAAGGTTCATTGCACGGGATATTTTATTTATTTATTTTTTTTTTTTTTGGCAAAAACTGCCGGTAAATATATTTCCATTCCAAGACGAAAACTTCAACCCCCAGCTGGAAAATTACATCGTTCTCATCGTTCTATAAGCGTAGATTCGAACTCTCACGTACGCAATCTCCGCTACAAGTCTCGACGCGAAATCAGAAAACCTGACGATGACTCTTCCTTCGTTTAGTCGGTGAGCACACCACCTACTCATTCATGAATAGCCATAGAGCGTTGAGACACATTTGCTCGAATAGCCGGCGGCATTTTACTGCTTCTTTTTTCCGTCTTCGTCATTAAGACTTTTTCAACTCGCGTAACGGCCTTCTCATTTATCTTACGAAGTTGCGCCAATTAAATCGCTGCAGTGTGCTTTTAAATTTCTAGAACGCTATTTCAATATTTAAGAGCACCAGCGTTTCCCTTTTCCTCTTCATTTTTTTTTCCTTTTTTTATGCAAACAGTAATAAAACTCGAGATATACTCCTGATGGTCAGACAGCGGTTCGTACGCGTAGGAATCTGTCTTTTCGGTACGACGACGGGAATACGGCGAATGAATAATAAGATTCTCTCGAGAAAACAATCCGCTACGCGAGCGCTTGCCGTACGCTCGAAAGAAGGGAGATAGAGAAAAAAATTAATTAATCTTCAATTTCGTTCGAGCGTTCTCCTACGAGTCGCTTGTCTATTTGCCGATCTCTCTTGGCGCGTGAATCACGCGTAGGCGAGGAACGAGCGATTTAGCATTTTTTACGCTATACCTTTGCTGCTCGCTCCAAGTGTTGCGTCACACAATTTCCATCGTGTATTTTTCTATATTTCAGCGGCGCGTGCACGGAGGTATAATGGGCGCGCGACGGAAAACAGATCGAGGGTCGTCGCTGTGAGAAAAGGTCAGTCAACTGCCTGCACCGCCCGACATACATAACTCGTTGCGAATTCCTCGCAGGCCTTCCTTTTTCGTGGTGTGCATATAGGTATACGATGAGCAAAATATGGAGCTTTTATTGTTTGCCAATTTTTCGCTCGCGCGCGTACGACGGCTGACTTACTAATCATCCCGACATGTACTCGTTCCCTTCTATCATTTATTGATTACTCAATTTCTCGCTCGTTTCCTACTTGCCCTTTCTTTTTATTTTGTTGCTTGGCTACAGCAGCACGTTTTCGGAAAGAATCAAGAGAAAGCTTATAATTAAAGTTGAAAATCAAAAAAAAAAAGATTGGATTGGTTGAACAGTACGAAGGGGTACTCATTTGTTAAAACAATCTCGTTCAAATTCTATAAAACTGAAAGTTCAAATCTATTTTTCGACCATATGCACTATCTCTCATAAAAATATATAGTGTCTGATAAATATATAATAAAAAATATTAAAAAATAATATATTAAAAATGATATAATAAAAAAAATGGAAGTTGCAGTCGAGATAAATTAGGACGGCGGGAGGGGGAAAGAAGGGAGAGAAGAGAGAGAGAGAGAGAGAACACAACGAGCTCTTCTGGCGTCGATCCGGAATCTGGTTATCGAGCGAAAGTCGGTCACGACGCGATGCGGTGAAAGAATCACTTCGAAAAGGGTCCATATTTGGTGCTGAGGTGACGCAAAGCCAAGCACGCGCCGGCCACCCTTGACACTGAGTGTATCCTAACTGTACTTTTGTCGACAAATGGCTCGTGGTATACTTAAATAAATGCGTTGCCCGCAGGCATTGTATCTTTTCTTTGTACTTCCTTTTTGGTTTCTTTTCAATAGACTAATGTTTACTTTCGATTTCTTGATGAGATGGAAATTTTATTTCGATTTGGATTGACAGCTTTGAAAAAATTCATGCTAAATTCTGAATTATAGTTTAATAAAATACGATCATCGGCAATTCTATTATTGTCAGGCAATGGAATACAATAAAGATGAATAAAGAATGACCTTTGTTCTTATTGATTACAGAGTTATGTATAAGAAACAATAGAATTGAAAATGTACGATATTATTTCACGATGTATGCGTAAAATGTTTTTACACATACATCGTAAAATTACCACTGAATTAATAACAATTAAGAAAGTTAATAATATTGAAGAAAAAAATGTACTTACCTGAAGTTGAATATCAGCAATTTTATTCCATGAGAATTCAAACTCATTGACAGGCACCCGAGCTGCTTTCAAAATGCGTAAAAAACCAAGCTCCTCAGGACGAAGTATCAGCAGTGCGTGACCGCTACTACCTTCACCACGAGCTGTTCTACCAACCCTGTGAATGTATTCCTGAAAATTAGAAAGAACGATTGCTTTAATAAAAGCTATAATTTTTTAACGAAAGTTTCACGAATTTATAAATAAAAAAAATGTTTTACCTTCTGATCATCGGGAGGATCGTACTGGACGATCCAATCAACATCAGGAATGTCAAGACCTCTGGCAGCAACGTCAGTACAAAGAAGAATGCCACTTGTGGCATTACAAAATTGGAAGAAAGTTGTTGTTCGTTTGGTTTGTTTTTGCTTTCCCTGTCAAAAGGAAAACAAATATATCTAGTTAAATTCAATTTATCTCATGATTCGTAAAATATTTCAACACTGAAACTTACATGAATACTCATAACTGGCAAATCTATATAATTTAAAAGTTCATGATGGTATTTAACAGACATGCAAGAACTGAAGAAAACCATGACTTTCTTATTCCGGTTTTTCTTTAAGAATGTAAACAACAACAAGAATCTCTTTTCACTTGGGCAAGCAACGTATCCTTGTTCTAAGCCTTCAACTGTCGCTTTATCTTTATCATCGTCTACTCCAACATAGAATGGTTCCTTTTTCAAAGCTAAAGTCGTCAATGCTTCAATTTTTTTCGTCTGAGTGGCACTAAATAGCATAGTTAATCTCCTTTCTAAAATAAAAAAATAATAAAATATTATAAATGAAAGTGATGAACAAGGGAATTTATATTTAGTTTTATGAATAATTTTCTTACTTGGTAATATGTTAATAACTTGCTTTAGCTCCTCTTCAAAACCAATGTCTAAAATTCTATCAGCTTCATCAATAACTAAACACTGTAGATTTTTGAACAAAAAGTCTGGAGTGTTTTGTAAATGATCTAACAATCTTCCTGGAGTTGCTACAATAATATTAATACCATTTGCTAATTTCTGGGCCTCGGTTTGTCTGCTAGTTCCACCCATTATTAGGCCATATGTATGATGGTGGTACTTCATCAATTCCTTTAGCACACCAAATGTTTGCATTGATAATTCACGTGTTGGTGACAGAATGATACATCCAGTTCCTACAAATTTGATGACCATATGACTAAGAACATGAAATTTCAGAAAATCAAGTTTCAATAGCTTTAGATAGACCTACCATTACGAGGCATAAATTTGAGTTTATATATCAGTTCGACTGCAGGAATAAGAAAAGCTAAAGTCTTTCCTGAACCAGTTTTTGCAGCACCAACAAGATCTCTGCCTTCAAGAAGTGGTGGTATGGATTTTGCTTGAATTTCAGTCATATGAGTGAAACCCATATCAGCAATAGCTTTCAAAGTACTTTCACAAACTTTATCTTTGAGTGTTTCAAAAGATCTATCTGTAGTAATTGCTAAACCTATAGATGAACCTGGCACTACAACAATTACAATAAATCAAGAGCTAGATATTTTTAACAAACATTTACTTTTATGAATAAAAGCTTACATTTTTCTATAGGTTCAGTTTCTACTCCTTCCTGTGTATCCGAGTCCTGCTCGTTATTCTTACCATCTTTCTGTTCATCATCATTTTCATCTTTCTCAGAAGCAACAGTCTTTACTTGTTCTGCATCACTAACTTCATCTTCTTGAGTTTCCTGTACTTTTACCTTATTCTTCTTTTTCTTTTTTTCTGAAAATAAACAAAAATAAATATTATGTATTTTATTATTAACTATGACAGAAAACAAGAACATTAAAAAAAATAAATTTACTTTTGACTGAATGCTCTTCTGCTGGCCTTTTAACTCCTTTTTTTAATGTTGACTTATTGTTTTCCTCTTCATTTTTCTCATCTGAATAATCAATTAGTTACGAGGAAATTAATGTGAAACATACAGTTCATATTACTGATAAAATATTGTTTTTAATTTTATAACCTATAACGTCACAACTTACCATTCTGTTTTTGGAGTTCTTTTTCTTTCAAAATCTTCAACTTGTTCTTTTCCCGGTTCCTAATCTTTCGCATTAACACTTTATCAGGCACAGACATTTTAACTTTAAGTAACTAATTAACAATTAATGAAATATGTACATCAAACATCCACGTGCGTTTATAATGAAAACAGAACTAACCGAATCGTATATAGCTCGCTTCGAGATTGCTTCCTGACTATCTTCAGATTGTTCATTCTGGCTCCCGCTTGATATACTTGGGTAAGTTTCGAATGGACTATGAAGGGCTCCTTAAAAATTTTGGCCATAAATTGATGATTTATTCAACTAAACCTGCATTTTGTTCCTTCGATATTAAATATCCCTAATATACACATATATTTACTTTTTAACTAGTTATATTATTATATTGTTTATTTATTCATTAAAATCCAGATCTGCAAACTAACAGTTGAAATTTTGAAATGGGTGTATAGAATCAATGTCCGTCGATTGTATACATAGTTGTCATAATAACATTGATTAATGTAGACTTGTGAATCTGACGCCCAAAAAAATTTTTTAATCATATTTTTGAGTTTTCATGAGGAAAATTGTTCCGTAATCCGGGAATAAGGAGCTATCATCCGCTATTGATATTATTTCTTTTTAAGCAGGAGAAAAATGTTTAATGCATTTTGCGCGCTATACGAACGCCCGATTTTTTTTCGCAATTTTCTTAAAAACGGAAAATCCGGAAATAAAATTTCAAGCGAAGACATAATCCGGAAAAAGGGAGAGAACGTTTTAGCTCATAAAAACTCAAAAATATGATAAAAAAATTTTTTTGGGCGTCAGATTCACAAGTCTGATTAATGTAGCTAATTTTATGATCAAATTCTTAAGGGGTCTTCCATTCGGAAAACACAGCATACCCAACATCTGTTCGCCGCATTTATTCCATATTTTAAAATCATTTAATTAAATGTGTTGATTGAATCGATTTATTACAATGTAATTTTTTTATTGAAACGCAAAAACTATTGGGTTTTGGCAAATTGATATAATTTCAAATATCAACGGCCAAGATATAGTTTAATAAATTCATATAAAAAAAAGTATCGGATTAATTTTCGTCGATTTCCCGCTGAATTCCTTTATCCGTGTTAAATAACAAAAATTTTGGTTGTCGGTAATTCTAGATAAGACATGTTTTTACTTTACTGCAATATTTTTATTACATGAGTTTTGATTACACTGAAAGTATAAAAATTAAGTAATATATTCAGTACAATCTGAATAAGTGCATTATATACAGTATGACACGAATTAATGCAAATATGTTATCTCTATAATAATTAGTATAAATTGATTAATAAATAAAGACTGAGTTAAAATTTATGCAAACATTATAAAATTTATATAAAAACAAAAAATGTTTATATATTGAAGATTCTTTTTTGCTTTAATTATCACTCAAGAAAAAAAATGCTGTGATAAAGACAATCGTTCAAATTTTTAAATCATTAAACATAAGCAATGCAATGAAACAAAACCTCAAAGGCTGAACTAAAATTGAAAAAAAAATCTTCTCCAATGATACTTCATTCATAGGAAATATTAGCATAATTAGCATTATTAGCATTAGTAGCCATTTGTTCAAATTTTTGTGTAGATTTAGCCTTAGTGATAAATTAACAAAACCAAGCATTTACTTCAGATATTCATTACACAATCCCAAGCCATTGCATTCTAGAATATAAGAACCATTTTCATTTTTGCTCAGAGAAAAGCTGAGTCCTTTATCTCCTAACATGATCTCTGTAACTTGCTTAGCTGTTTCTGCATGACAGGTCAGCTCTTTTTTGCCAACATTAATCTTTGAATGGCCCTTGGCCAATACCATCAGTATAATCATCTGATCTTGCAAATGTTCATCCACACAAGAATCAATTAAAATTGGAGCAATGACTTGATTGGCAGCTTCAATTCCAGGAGGAACAGGACCTGGACGTTTTGAACCTAAACCAGAGCCACCAAAAATGCAATTTGTTGTAGTTTTACACATTAAATTGATGCCAGATCCATGTCCTATAGCATTGTCCCTTTGCTCTTTGTAAGCTTGTATGTCAATTGGAGGTATATTGATATCACGTTTAGACAGCTCTTGTTTAATAGTAGACTTTGCATCATTTGCCATTCTATAAGCTTCATTAATATTCACAGCACCGGCAGTGTAAGACCAACCTTTAATGTTTGTTGGTATTCCAGCATCTAACAGTTCAATTCCTTTCAAATTATGAACTGGAGTTACACGCATGTGAACTTCTCCACCTCCTTGAGGATAAAATCCTTTTCTTATGATGTCAAGCTCTAAGTCACCTCCAAATCTGTTCAGCAAAGGTCTAAAAATATGTTTGAAATACTCAATGTGAGGGCCAAAAGGCACATTTGTTCCTCCTTTCAAAATGTAAATTGCTGCTCTAGATGAAAACAGAGCACAAGGTAAGGCAATTTGAATGAGCAAACCAATGCATCCAGCTGTTTTAGTGTCGGCTACAAATTCTTGTATTTTATTGTTAAAACATCCTGGTTTAAATATCAAGCAAGTTGAGCCTATTTCAGCTCCATGCACTTCAGCATTGTACATTTCTTTTAGTAATTGAACTCCTTTGAGATGTTGAGTTTGCAACCCAGGTTTTGGACGGCCAACTCTTATATTGTTTATCTCAATAGGAATTTTGTAAAGAGCACTTAAACACAAAGAAATTCTCAACACCTGACCTCCACCTTCCCCAAGACTACCATCAAGTTTCAATAATTCTTGAGTCATTTTTTTATTTCTTGATAAACTTAGCTTTTAGTAGTCCTAATAAATTTTTCGTACAAAAACAATCACCCATACAGCTACAGAAACTCGTTTTATATACGACGTAATTTTGTAAAGTAGAAATTATTTCCTAAAAAAATGAAATTACATTTAATTTTTTATTTTATAATGATGGTATTGAAAGATGTTTACAGCGATTGTACGAACTTCCAAAAGCGTAATTGTAAACAACACTATAGAAGGTTACGTTTACGCCGGTGTCTTCTCTGCTTGATTTTTGATTTGTGCTGCCCTCATCTAGGTATGCTAAATATTTTACTATATGTTATATGTATCATTAATGAAGATAAATATTTACTTTTTATTAAAAATAAATCGCTTATTATTATATATAACTAATAAGCTAATTTTTAATTGAAAAATAAGAAATAACGGTATGATTAACCCATTTGCATCATCGCTCTACTTAGGCCGCCGCGCCTGAACATCAGAGCCGAACGACAGACGACTGTCGCACAGTCGCAGGTATGCGGAATATTCCGCGCTTGGTGATAAAAGACAGTCGCAGTTCGCGGAATATTCCGCGCATTGATGCAAATGGGTTAATTTTTTGCAATTTAAAATTACGTCTAATATTTAAGTATATAATATGATCGCCTTACTAAGAGCGAATTATAAGATAATGCCGTAACCGCGTAACTGATATCCCAATGAAACTAAGTATACAAATTTTATCCAGATTATATACGAAATTTGTACGAGATTATATACAAAATCTATACAAATTTTATACTTATTAATTGACTTATTCCTAAAAATTGAATATATAAATAATACAAGCCCTATATTATGGATAAATAACTTGGGTAGCTTCCACAAAAGATGATATACCTTTTTTATTTTTAATCGAATATTCTTTTCCATATCGTTATCAAGCCATTATAAATGGAACAAAAATACTATCCTTACTTCAACAATGGGGCAACAGCTACATATCCAATGTGATTACATTTAACGTAGTTCATTTAAGTGCGAGTAGGTGAATCTTATATGAACGTATTTATAGGAAAGTATAAATTTCATTTCATTACTTTTGATTGATAGTCTTTTCTTGAAATGTTGGTGTGGAGATGAACGCGATCGTAGAGCCTAAATATATAGAAAATAGCGGTCCCGAGTAGAGTGCAATATGTTTATGACGATACAAAATATCATTTTCGCAGATGTTATTTTGAAACTGCGAGTTACTACACAACGTTAATATTTCCAAGATTGCAAACGTTTTTAGTTTGTAATTGAAAATAGCAATTAATAACTTTGTATATTTTAATCCTTTAAATAATGTGTTTTATCACAATTAATTTGAAAATCCTGTTTTCCATAATTAAATCTTTCAATGTTATTGTTAATTATAATTATAGTTGTAAAAAAGAAAGTTATATGAAAAATTTTCAATTGATTATTTCCAGTTACATTACCATTCATTGACTCATTTCATGATCAATGACATTGTCATGACTGAAGTTTATAATATAATTCTGGTCATTAAATGTTTTCCTTTCATTACACATCAAATATTAATTGCATAAAATTACTTATTGTAAAATCATTGGAAATACATATCACATATTTTAGAGGTTTAGAAACATAAAATAATTATAACAAAATTAATAAGCTAAAATATGTATGTTTTATTACCTTTATAGAGTGGAGAATCAACATAAATTATGTACATATTTCTCTCAAAATGCCAAAGTACACGATCAGCTAATTGTAAATTGTACAATAGTGAACGTAGAAAAATCGAAGTAAAATATCTTGTCCAAACTTAAACTAATACTTGAATTTCTAATTCTCTTCCGGCCAAGGTTTTCCAATTCCTTGAGAAGCTCCCATTCTTGAGGGATCTTGACTTGGATAATGTATTGCTGTTGGAGCAGTGCCTGGTGGGAATATTGGAGCAGCTGCAGATGGTGCCATAGGTGGAAATAAGAATGGCGCAGGTGGCATTGGTGGTGGAGGTATAATACCTGGCATAACACCAGGCAAATTGAAGAAGTTATTCGTCACACTTTCTGGTGGTGGTGGGAGTGCACCTGGTAATCCAGGAACTGGCTCCAATACTTCTCTAACTCCTTCAGCTGCTGAAACCGTTTGTCTACCTTGCGATCTACCCCACTTGATAGTCAATCGTCTACCACCAAGGATTAACTTGTTGAAAGTCCTTTCTGCAGCTGTTTCTGCTGCATTCCTTTGTGTATACTGAATGAATGCACATTGTTGTCTTGGAACCATTGTAATAGACCTGATTTCACCATATTGATAGAAATGATCTCTTAATGATTTCTCAGTGATAATTTCACCTAGATTGCCAATATAAAGTGTAGTAATAGACTTGTCTTCTGGGGGCTCTAATTTAGGCATTGCAGCTGCTCTTCTCATTAATTTGTCAGCAACCGGATCATTCACACCGTAATATCTGTCTTTAATATTTTGATCAGCCAAAGGATCATCTGGATCTGTTGGCTTCTCATGTCTATAGGGACACTCTTCACCTCTTTTACATTCACCTTTCACCCAAAAACTACATATGTGTGGCCTATTTCGCTTGTAATACGGGCTTGTTCTTGCAAGCTTCATAAGTAAATCACTTGCAGCACTGGACTTTCCAACTGCACCTGCAGGTTGTGTAGGGTCTATTTTATTAATTTCACTATCGATGTTCTGTACATAATATTCCTTATTAACATCTGATCGAGGGATATCATCCTTGATTTTCAGAGCAGCATCTCTGACTTGAATTGGCAATCCGTATTCCAAATCCAAGAGACATGTTTGACAAACATTTTTCAATCTACTGCAAGTCTGACAGACTTCAGTCTTCTTGAAACGCATTCTTGCTCCTGGACACCATCTGAACACAGTAAAAGGGCGCATACAAATTTTGCATTCCTTGCCAAACTTTTCTTTTGTCTGTAAAAAATCGTTCACAACGAATTAACGATTTTTGTCAAATATGATTAATGATTGAGAAAAATAATAAAGAAACATACCATTCGAATGTATGGATTATCACCTAAACATGTCTGACATAATATGGGAAATTCCTATAAAATAATGTAAAAATAAATACTAGAGGTTAGCTTACCATCTTAAAATTACACTTAAAAAACAATTTTCTCGTGCTTACCGCATCCTCCCAATTCTGTCTATTATACAAACTTGTAGTTTTTGACATAGCCATCTTGAATGCGTTTAATTGACAATTTAATGAAAAATTCTTATTTTATTATCATAATATTGTTCGTTTTCGCAACAGCATCAACGTCAAGTTAACTTATAACAACGTCAATACACAGCCGCCATATTGATTTTCAATTCGAAAATCGAGAATTAATATAAAGGCGCGCAGGTCCAAAAAGTTAGCACCGAGAATCCTTTTTTTTAAGCTAATCGATAAACTAATTATACCGTTAGATATTTCGTCAGGATAGCAACAACTTTTCTCTTTGTCGTTTGTTGGTTCGTCCACTGAAAATCCTTAAAATTAATAAAATAAGTCTTGGGTGCTGGCCTTAGCACCCAAACCAAAGTTGCGGTCAAACTTAGAAAATATTAAGTAAAAAAAATTCGTAAGTAAACCGATCGTTAGTTCGTCTTACGAACTAACAGCACCCATAATAAAATCATGACTAATTTGATTATTTAAGCAACTAAAAATAACAAACTGTTTCGAATATTGGCTCACGTTCAAACGCCAAAGCGCGGTACGCATGCTTCCTGAATTATCCCCGCCGGTACGCGAACCCCCGCTCTTATTTTTTACTACACCTTTTTGATTTTAATACATCAGATCAAATCAAACTTTATAGTAACATTAGTAACATTAGTAACTAGTACCTATTGTCCAATCAATGGGTAAATGGAATTTAAAAAGTACATACTTGAGTAATTAATACGCAAAGCGTAATTTTTTTAAGTTAAGGCGGGGATAATTCAGGAAGCATGCGTACGGCGCTTTGGCGTTTGAACGTGAGCCAATATTCGAAACAGTTTTTTATTTTTAGTTGCTTAAATAATCAAATTAGTCATGATTTTATTATGGGTGCTGTTAGTTCGTAAGACGAACTAACGATCGGTTTACTTACGAATTTTTTTTACTTAATATTTTCTAAGTTTGACCGCAACTTTGGTTTGGGTGCTAAGGCCAGCACCCAAGACTTATTTTATTAATTTTAAGGATTTCCAGTGGACGAACCAACAAACGACAAAGAGAAAAGTTGTTGCTATCCTGACGAAATATCTAACGGTATAATAAGTTTATCGATTAGCTTAAAAAAAAGGATTCTCGGTGCTAACTTTTTGGACCTAAGGCGCGCTAATATTTAAAAAAGCAATATTTATTTTGAGAATATTGAGATATGTTGGGAATATTATAATTTAAATGTCAAATATATTACATCACTATTATCGTAATTGGCGTAACTGCGATGTTATTATAAGAAACGTTAGTTATTCTTGAATATCTTAAGTTAATAATTTTCTTAGGTTAGGTTAGCTGTGCATTTACTGAACAACAGCGACATAGAGATAATCCAATGAGAATGACGCCGACGTGATATAAACATCAGCGATTATAGTAATCTTTACTTTTAGTCAAACGTGTGCTTGTAATATGTGATTTGTTTTCGACACGATGTGATTGTTATATGCTTTTAGGCATAATTGTTAAATACGCGATACAGATGATTTACCAATCAGGGTAGTGATCTTACAATAGTCGTTATACTGTAAAGTTCTTATAAATCATGTCATCAGTACATTTATCAACTGGAAGATTGAATATTGGATTAATTCAAGAACAAGCTAGAAAACAATTGCTTTGCTTACTTGAAAAATGTGATGGACCCAAAGTATAAATAATACATTTTTTATTGAATCTGTATTTTAGCTTATAAGTATTATATTCTAACGAAATTTTATTTTAGGCCATTATTTGGGATGAATCCCTGGGAGGACCTATGGGCCTTGTTGCCAAGTATGATATTTTGCAAGAACATGAAGTTACTAAAATGTATCCATTGGTAGGTGGGCGTCTACCTTCTGCTGATGTTGCTAATGTCATCTTTATCACAAGGCCACATTTAGATCTTATGGATCTTATTGCTCAAAATATTCATGGGTATCAATAGATCATTGCTTATTTTCAATAATTATATAATTTTATATCGGCCATTATAAATGATAAGTCTTTTTAATTTTAGAGAGGAAGGAAACAGACACCGAAAAGAATTTCACATATTTTTTGTACCTCGAAAGAGTTTATTGTGTGAAAAAAAATTACAAAATAGGGGTGTTTACGGAAACTTCACACTGGTCGAAGAATTTTCATGTGATCTCTTTCCTTTTGATAATGACTTGGTTTCTATGGAGCTACCAAATGCTTACAGAGAATTCTACTTAGAGAATGATCCTACTTGTTTATATCAAGTAGCTCAAGCTATACAAAGTATGCAAAAGCTTTATGGAAAAATTTCTAAAGTTACTGGAAGAGGTCCTGCAGCTAGTAAAGTGTGGGATTTAATGAAAAGATTAAGTAGGGAAGAGGAAGATTCAAAAATCAACAACTTGCAAGCACCAGCAATTGAACATTTACTTTTGCTTGACAGATCAGTAGATTTATTGTCACCACTTGTCACACAGTTAACGTATGAAGGTCTAATAGATGAAATATTTGGTATTAATAACAGTGAGTTGTTCGATTATAACATTTTCTTAAATCTGGTGAATGGATTTTTACTCATTTTTGTCAAATTTTCAGCTACTGTAAAATTACCTGCTGAAAAATTCGCGAATTCTGAAGAATCTCCAACTGTAATGTCATTAGAAAGGAAAAAACAGCAAATTATTCTTAACTCATCAGAAGAGTTATTTGCTGAAATCAGGTTGGTTGAATACTCTATCAAGTATAAAATCCGTTAATATCATAATTTTATTAATTAATATTTTCTCAGGGATAAAAATTTCAATGGAGTTGGACCGGTTCTCAGTAGAAAAGCCAAAGTAATATCATCTGAATTTGATGAAAGACATGGAGATAAAAGTGTACAGGAAATAAAACAATTTGTTGCAAGATTACCTCATATGATTGCAACTAAGGCATCTCTTGCTAAACGTGAGTAAATAAGAAACTACTAGTATAGAATACTATTTATTCTAAAAATATTCCCTTATTACAGACACGACAATAGCAGAAATGATAAAAGAAGTAACTGATTCTTCAGATTTCTTGGAAGTCCTACAAATTGAACAGGAGCTTTTGAATTGCATTGACACTGACAAGCCCAATTCATACATAGAAGACCTGATAGCCCAACAACAGCCTCTTATGAAAGTATTGAGACTCCTTTGCATTCAATCAATAACAAACTCTGGTCTGAAGCAAAAACTTCTTGACTATTACAAGAGAGAAATTATACAAACTTACGGCTATCAACACTTACCGACGTTGCTAAACTTGGAGAAAGTCGGACTTCTAAAAGTTCAGCAATCTGTCAGACAATATGCCGTATTACGTAAAGCGTTAAGATTGACTGTAGAAGACGAAAGCGAAATTGCTCCAAAGGATATTAGCTATGTACATTCCATTTATGCTCCCTTGAGCGTTAGATTAGCAGAACAACTTGTCCAGCCTGGTGGTTGGCAAGGATTAAATGATATACTTGGATTATTACCAGGCCCAGCAATCAGTAGTGTATCTCAAAATTCGATGCCGACGGGAAGACGTAAGATATTTTTATAAAAGTTATTTTATAAAAGACTCAATTTATTAGAAATATCTAATTATTTTAAAATATTTTTTGTCAAATTTTTAAAGGAAACTCAATTACTAGTGAAGATTCAACGTCTGAACCACCAAAACTTGTTCTTGTATTTTTTATTGGTGGTTGTACGTATGCAGAGATATCAGCTTTACGCTTCTTATCACAGCAAGAAGACTGTAAGTATTTGATATTTCAAGTTTAATATATACAGTCTTTTTATTTTCACATGTTTAAATAATTTATGTTTCTTTCAGCAAATGTTGAATTCGTCGTAGGTACAACAAGGCTTATCAATGGAAATACATTTTTGTTTTCGCTGGTTGAAGAAATGAAACAAAATTAATTTTTAAAATTAATTTTTAAAATTAATTTTTTAGAATATAAGTATGAAACTTCTAAAAAAATATATACTTGATTTTATGTGATTTTTATAAATATTTTAAATATTTAAATAAAACTATATTTATTGATTGTTACTTTTTGTCCTTTAATTTTCTTAACGCAAGGTTATCATTTGTTTTCTACAATACCTATCAAAAAAATCAATTTTGTGGATTTTTTAATTTCTTTGAATAATATTCACTTAATCTTTAATATCACGAAGTATTAAACGGGACAAATATGCAATGCAATCGCTCAAAATAATTTGGAAAAAACTTGTAAGTTAGAATTGAATTCATTTTTCCATGGCTATACGTAGTTGATAAGGAATCCAACGTGGGCGTAAAAATTATGAATAATTTTAAATAAATAGTCCACAAATGATTTCAGAGTTTACGTATGTGGATTTGTTAAAATTGCTTGTAAGCTCACAAATGTTGTGCAAGCTTGAGCTTTCCTCGAATCACCATGAAGGTAGGTAATAATTTTATTAAAACATGACTTATAAAACTGAGAAGATATAAGTGGTATCGGAAATGTTTCGATGGCGCAAAAGAAATATTAGCTGTCCGTTGACGATTGTATGATTATCATAAAAACAAACTCTAAAATGTATTGCAAAAAACAGTCTTATGGACACGTTCGCGTAACTCGATAAATCGAAACAGATGATTTATAGCAAGCATGGACAAATTTTAATTGAGTAACGTGTCAAACTCGTTAAGAACGTTACAATCGTTACGGACATAATATGTACTCTTTTATCAACAGTCATGCAATATTCAACAATCGGCACTATATCGCAACGACAACCAGAGCGTGATAAGCTCAAACTGCTCGTCCAGTTAATTGTATTCCTGCTGACCGCGGATCATCCTGTCAATCGCAAATGTACACGTGATTGGGCGCACCAGCAACGTGTTTATCGAGTGGACAAAAACGACGGATAAAGCCAGGGTGACCATGGAGGACTGACTTGCAAAGAGATAATGTATTGCAAGTAAAGCCAGCCATCCGGTGATCAAGGTTGCTATCTTTATGAGATCCATGACTTTGACGGATATCTGAGAAAAAAAGTTTGAAAACGTTTGGGATTGTTGGGCTGTTATATTTTTACGAATATCGACATTGCTAATTACTCACAGCGTTGAAAACTAGAAATAGCAGTGGGTTACTGTACTGAAGCTCGATCATCCGCCTCATGGATTTCAGCGAATCGGATCCGTAAACCGAAGTGTGTACCAGGGCGTACTCCGAAATGTCAATAATTAGACTCAACTTACTGATAAAATTAATCAGCGCATAGTCGGATTGCTTAGCCGGTGGTTTATTAGTTTTCAAGGCCATAATCAGTGCGCACAGAGGTGGCAAAATCGGCATTGTCAGGAAAGCTACCGTTCCAAGATGATATCTGAAATAAACAAAATGTGGGCATTAATCTAGACATGTAAAATCGGCAGAGAACGAATGCAAAGATGCCGAGAGAATGTCATTGAAACTTGGTCTACCTGGAAACTCTTGCGATGCTTTGAAAAACGTCGGTCCAAGAGGAGTCTCGACTGTCGTAGTAATTGGCTAGGTAGTCCCCTTTAACCATGAATCCGAGATTCCAGATGAACTTGAATACGTAAACGCTCACTAGAGCGAAGGTGAAGATACGCAGGCGCATTAGTAACCAGTTCCACGTGAATTCACTAGGAGCGTAAATCAGGTAGAACATGTACGGTATAAATATGTAGAAGGCCATCATGACGGTGACCACGAGCACGATCATCGATAGTGAAATCGCCACGAGAGACAATATCGAGGTAGCGAAAGAATGCGCTATCGCCCTAAAATCATTCGGCAAGAGCCGGAGAGCTATTTGTAGAAGTTGTCGCGATCGAACGTGACTCGGCTCCAAGTACTTACCGAACTGGTTCTCCGATCGTGGATCCTAAACAGGCCGCATCCAGTTCTTTCGTGCTGATGAAAATGACGACGTTGTAAACCAAAATCACGCCTAATACCGACAGAACCAGCAGCGACCATTTCAAATCTAAGTCAGCCGGGTAAAATAATTTCCAGAGAATGCCCATCACGGCTATCGAAACGAGGGCGAGGACGGAAAACGTTACCGCGAAAACTAGCCAATCGTCGTTCAGCGTGTTCAAAAGGAACAGAAGCAGAACAATAACCAACACGGCTGTCACTCCGTGTATCAGAAGATCCGGACATATCCTAAAAAAATTAGCACTCGCTTGAGAACGAGCAAAGCGATTTGAAGCACTTGGTCAATGTTTGTAACAATTACCGCTTCAAGTCTTGCCAAACGAACGTAGAAACGCTGCCCCGGAGGATTTCTGAAAAACGGTTAGCTGAATGAAACTTTACATCGAGAACGCGCCTAATTGTCTCGATTGTATTGCTTACCACTGATACCGATTCCCAACCAAAGCAGCAAGCTCAGCGGCACAAGCGGAAGAAATAACTGGTCGGTCGATCGTCGAGTTTCGACGGGTTTCAGAAGCGCAAGGGTCGCTCGCTTTGCTATAAAATAACGAGACGAGTCACGCGAAGGAATTGAGAGCTCTAGGTAGGTTTTACATTCGAAGAGAAGAATTGACATGTATCGACTCGCAGCAGGGAGCAAATGTAACGCAGGAATATGCAAGAGAACGGCGACTTACTGTCGATTTTATTGTTTTCCATTGCACTTCTTTTATTTTCTTTCCTATTCTGCAGCGAAATGTCAATTATCGGGCCGCAGGGTTTGCCGACTATCTGACTGGCGTCGCTCGGCGGACAAGCTGCTCTACGCCGAGAAGATCTTGATACTATGTAGACACACGCTATCGTGGAGTCACTATATATAATGCAAGAAACTCACTGTGGGAAAAACGCTCTTCGCGTGGTTTGAATATATAAGGTGTGTTGTCACCATGAACGACCGCCGAAATGTCCTCTCCGACATTTTCACGTAGTTGGTTCACTTGCCCTTGTTCCAGTATAACGATATAAAAACACCTGCATCTTCCAATTTCAATGAAGAGGTTCGATGAAGAGACCATGGTTGAATTAGCGCGCTTCAGCCGATGTGGCTATTTTGTAATGCGTTGCGACGGAGAGCTGCTGCTTTCAATATATTTTTACTGTAACTCTTGGTGGTTCGGATTGCACCTCATGCTGCGGATCCAGTCACGATGCATGCATAACTTCTGCTCCCGCATCCATCCAAAAGTGGCGGAGCAGACTATAAGGGACTAATACGTAGATTGTAGTGTTCACGACGAACGTAGTTCTTGAAGTGACATAAACAATAACATCAAAATCGTACTTTTGTATGGTAATAATACCTGGTACACGCGAAAGAAAGTACACCGAATCCAAAAATTGTAAAAATCGAAATTAATATTTTTACATCCGTTACTCCGCACTTTGTAAAATTCCAAAATAAGTCGATCTTGCATTTGATTGGTAAAAATAATTCCTTGCAGATAAGTTTTATCGGCCTGAAATTGCAATTAACTCAAAGTATCTTGCAAACTAGCGCGTTGTAACGCATATTCTTGGGAAAACTTTAATGCTCTCGCGAATGCTTCAAAGAACATATTATGGTAATCAAGAACATTTCTATGCATTTCTATACGCTCGCGGAATATTAACTATACATCAGCATTTCGCGATCATGCTGAAGACAAAAACAATGACATCTCCGCTGATGAAGAACTTTTCGCAAGAAATGTTTACAAAATTCGCTGAGTAAAGGTAGCTCATTGCATAATGATAATTCAAATGTTATATAGTGCTCTTCCGTCGAGGAGCACTAAACACAGTCAAAACGTCTACGTATATAATTTTGAAAGTGTGACAAATTAACGATATTGATTATTAATATTTATTGAATGACATCATCTGTTCGACCGTAAGATATAATTGATACAATAAATTTATATACATATATATTCAAGTACCAGACGTACCCGAAGTAACCAAAACACGTTGGGTAAGTCCTCAGCGAGTAGCTACATTGGTGCAGATTGAATCGAGTAAGGGCTACAGTCATCGGTGAGAGAGAAATCGCGCAAGTTCTCTTTTGAAATTATACGCGATGTCTTGCGAAAACATAACGAACATAATTTTTTCACGAGAAGTAAAGAAAATTCTAATGGACCATCGTTAAGCTTATATTTGCGCATGAATAATGCTTTACGATAATGAATTTACTTATTTTGTTGCTCGGTTGATTTCAATTTTATAATTGTTTCTAGCAATGACTTATTGATCACTGTGTTTAATTTTTATTATTCAATTGTAACAATGCAGATTTTAGGCCCTCATAGACAAAATACACAGAAATAGAATAGTTTCTCGGAATTTCAAAAGTGAAATTAATCAATATGGAATACGTTATTTGTGCGATTATCGCGAAGAAAACACATCGATGTAAAGCGCATCCTTTTATTAGATCGACTGTTCAGCTATCGCAATGTGGTCATCCATCGTATCGGTCATTCGAATGCAATTCATCTGGTAGATTGAAAAAGTACACATCGCCGAGCGCATCACTGATTTGCAGATGCAACTGATGTAGACGGCCGCTATGAAAACTTGGTAAACAGCCATCGTGTCGTCAGCGACGTGCAGCTTGGAATGCGTAGGGTTTCGGGAGAGCGGGATGTCATGGTACATCGGCAACGACCACAAACGTACAATCATGCCTACGATTGTCGCCAATACTATGCAAATTTCGATGATCTTGGTGGATATCTAGGAAAGCGTTGAAATATGTCAGTTTGCAATGTGACCGCATTTCTGCGATTTACGATTTAGTGTTCGTCGGATGATTTGTGCACTCACGGCATTCAGAGTTAAGAAGAGTAAGGAGCTGCGTTGCCCAAGTTCGAACATTTCCGATATCGACTTGAAAGCTTTGTAGCCGTTGATCGACGTCTGTACCAAGGCGTAATCCGAAATGTCCGCGATGAGGCATAGCTTGCTGAAAAAGTTTATCGACGCGTAGGTCGATTTTGTGCTGCATCGCCGATTAGTCTTGAAAGCCATGATCAAGGCACAGACCGATGGCAAAATTGGCATCGATAAGAGCGCCACGGTACCAAGGTGATATCTGTAGAATCACGAATGACAAAATCATCGGTGTGAGCTCCGAACGAAAAAAGAGCGGCTTTGAAATTGCTTACTTCGCGATTCTCGATGTACTTTGAAAGATGTAGGCATTTCGGGGCTTTTCGTTCTCGGATCTGGCGTAAAAATGAGCAAAGTAGTCGCTCGTCACCGCGAATCCAAAATTCCAAATAAAATTGAAAAGATGCATCCCCCCGATGAGAAATATAGACAGACGCAAGATGTCTAGAGAAGTAGCTGGAATGCCGTAATTATTGTCCCAAGGAAAGTAGTCAAACAACTTACTCAGGCTGGTATTCATCGTAATCATCAGAGCGATGATCGACAGGAAAGCAATCGCGAGAGAAACAGACAGTGCTAGAAAGGAATGAAGGATCGCTCTGCAAATTATGAAATCGGTACGTTTAGAGTATAAGTTTTTTAGGTGCCAGTTGAAAATTGCAACGACTTACGGGCACGATTGACTTATCAGTTCAGCTGTGAGATTTACGTTCGTTTCTTTCGTACAAACGAAGATCGTTACTTGATAGCTCAGGTACAAAAGTGTCGCCACCAGGGCCGCGATAATGAACACCGAGGAGTGAGACTTTGCGCTGTTGAAAATAAGTATAGTTAGCTCCCATGGTATAAGCACAATGAAACTGGAGATTGTAATAACAATCAACGATATTGCTACGAAGACAATCCATCTGGCTTTCAGTGCACTCGCAATGAATAGAAACGATATCGTTATTAGTATGGATATTATCGAGTAAATAGAAATGTTGGCCAAGCTCCTGAAAATAAGATATGCGAACTCAAATAGAATACCGTTATTAACTATGTATTCACATGCGCAAGTCCAATTACCTGAGCAAGATTAAATCCAAGTAATAATTGCTACGACGAATGGGTGCTGTAGATTTATATGGATCGTTTTGTATTTCTGTAGGGCAGAAACATCTCATAAGTGTGATTCAATCAGAAACGTAAAGCGAGCTGCAGTCACATACCGTAAATAGCGATCCCCAGCCAAAGCAAAAAATTCAAAGGTACGAATAGACTGAAGAAAATGTCAGTTCTTCGTCGAATCATTATCGGCTTCGTACCTGACGTCGCGGTTTGTATAACTGTATCGACAAGATAAAACATTACGATTGGCAACGCCGAAATCAAAATCACTGAGCATTAAAATTATATATATATATATATATAATTTCGTGAAAGCATTACCGCAAACGCCGTCCGTCATTTCGAATTTATGACAAGGGAAACTTGGTTTTGCGCAAAAAATAATTGAAGGCAGTTTGGGCGTCGCTGCGGTACGGCGAAAAGCGACTGATCTGCGAGCCAAAGTGTCGACTCGACGCACGAAACTGTGCGAGGCATGAAAGAAAAAGTCGATTTCCTAATTGTATTCATAGCGCCGTAGATTTGGAGCGTCGATAATGTTATGCGCACGCGCTAATGTATGCGGGAATGAAAACTCTCTACAGCGCGGAGTTAATGACCTCCATGTAATTTTTTATCTCAACCCCTTCCTTTTCCTCAATTTGATGAACAATGATTGTTATAACTACGTGATTTTAACAAGTGTATTGTTGAATAAACATCGTCTCTTTGGTATTAAAATGCAAATTACTCTTTCCAAGTACCCCCTGTTATGTGCGAATTTATAATAATAAAAATTAGCCATTTGCGAGTGATGCTAATAAGCAATGAAGCTGCAAAGATAAAAATTAATATATTTAGACGGATACATCTTTTTCATGAATATTAATTAGGTCGCGTAGCTAGTGGGAATTTAATTTGAAGAGTTATACTAATTAATGTTTTTTTTTTTGGATCACGTATACTATTTTTAGTAAAATACAAATAAGACATTTGATGTGCACAATTGAAAATAAGAAAAAAAAATTATCGATAAATTCTTCACACCGAGACGGCATTTTATAAATAAATAATAATAATATTAAAAAATGCAAAAAAAACGTGACACTTGAACGACTATGAATATTATATACATAAATAATTATTTTTACGTAAATCCATATTTTAATTTAAATAAACTTGCTTTGTAAAATTTAGATAATGCATGTATTTTATTTTCTTAATATTTTACAGAACAACGCAAAAGATTGTAACGTAAATTTTTTTCGAAACATATCTTTTGGATTATAATAATGGTAAGAAAAACATTTTTTTAAAGAACTTTTACTACTCAGCTGATATCCACAAGTAACTCTTGATGTCTATATATTTTTATTGAATACCTACTTAGAATTGAAAAACTGCCGGTTATACCACTACAGTGACGCTAGTCATAGCAGACGACAAATAACTGTCAGTAATCAGCTGTTCGCGTAGTGGGAGGATCACTGAGCAATTGTATACAATGCGTTGTGTCGTATCTCTTGATTCATTGCTAATTAACAATTAACAATTGGAAATTTTTTTATAAATATTACTGGTGATTCATCTGTTGTTATTTAGTAGTTTGTCACTAATTGTTTAGTGAATCCAAGTAGCAATGAAATTTTAAGTTTTGGTTAATGTATGTTCAACGATATAAACACAGACAACTGTAGTTTGAACTTTTCCAAAATGTGTCCTGCATTATTGGAGAACGAAGAAAGATGTTTTGGGGGGATGACGTTTTTTGCTCAAAGTCATCCAGCAGAACTGTGCGGGAGTAATGGCTTGCCACTGACTCCAAATTCAATAACAATACTTGGAAAATCACAATTTTTGAAAACCATCAATCATCCGAATTTATCTACATATATGGACATTATTCGCAGTAAACATGGTAAACTGTTTAATCAAATTAATGCTTCTTTTTGACTTTATAAACAATTCATTCAATCTTTTTTAAAACATTTAGAGAGAACTATTGTGGTGGCAGAGTACAAAGGAGAACCACTAATTTCAAAAGAGAATTTATCTGTTAATGATGTGGTTAAAATTACTTACCAATGTTTAGTTGGTTTGAAATATATGAATGATCTCAATTTGGTTCATAGTCATCTCAGTCCTGACAATATTCTCATCGACAAGCATGGCAACGTTCAACTTTATAACTTTGGCTTGTACTATATGACTGACTATGGGAAAAATGTATCATTTCCTATTGGGTATGTAAACATTTCATTTGGTTTTTCGAATTTACTATTAGCTTTATTATAAATTATTGTAAATACATTGCATTAATAACAGGTACCCTAAGTACACAGCACCAGAAGTTTTTTTAAGTAACAGTATGAGAAGTGTCAAAGTAGATTCATGGTCATTAGGTATCATAATAGCAGAGAGATTACTTGGGAGAACTCTCTGGCCAGGTGTAAAATTATCTCAATGTCTGAAAAAAGTTTTGAGCTTGATTTACACTGAAAACAGTGTGTTTGAAAGATTAGCACATGAAAATAGCTGCTACAATGTCTATGAGGTATATTCTTGTTTTCAAAAATTATTTTTAATTGAAACAAATATATAAATTACTGATTTTATTTTGATTCTAATAGGAACTGCCTCAGGATGTTAAAAGTTTTGTAAATGACTGTTTGCAAATACATCCATCGCAGCGTAAAACACCAGAAGAACTTCTAAATTTACCTATATTCGAAGACTTTTTGAAGAAAGATGCAAAAGAAAAAGAAGATAGCTTGTATGAAAATATTATCAGTAGACAGATGGATGAACTTTATTATTTATGGCAACTGGCTGGAGGAGATATTTCAATGGAATTAAAAAAACAAGGACTGATCAGATCAAGACCTCCTATCTTATCACTTCCAAAGTATGATATAATTATTGTGATAATATTTTTACCTTTGAATGTGTTGTAATAACGATTACTCTTTTTCAGCCTTGTGATATTATTAGGCCAGATGTTTGGTCGTCGTGATACAGCTGGACTATTAGATCTGAAGGTTGTTAAAGTTCCACTGGATGTGCTAAGTCAAAGACTGTCACATATTCCTTATGTAGCAAACTATCCTAGACTGACAAGCCAGTAAGCAATACTTTACATAAACATGAAACAAATGTTACACAATATATTTTACCGTCTATTGATGTTTTGTACTTTTAGAATGCATGTTCAAGAACAAGACGATTTAACAGAATCTTCATCTCAACTTCCACTCATCATAAGAGAAAGGGATACCGAATATCAATTTTATAGGCTTGTTCTGTATTCTAGATTACTACAAGTAACAAAAGTCGTATAATTATATAAACATGCTTCCTATTACTCCACTTTTATGTAAATGTTAATTCACAGATATATCCAATAACAAAAGATGCGATTGTACGTGAGGCTCACAAAGATATACCACCACCAGTTCGAGGCGCAGTATGGGCTGCTCTGCTGGGCATTACAGGAGACATACAGAAAAAATACGACATGATTGACAAAGAAACACCTACTCACACTGATAGACAAATTGAAGTTGATATTCCAAGATGTCATCAGTATAGTGAACTTCTGTCGTCTGGTGCTGGACATGAAAGACTGCAAAGATTATTAAAAGCTTGGGTTAGAGATAACCCGCATTATGTTTATTGGCAAGGACTCGACTCCCTAACTGCTCCGTTTTTATTTCTGAATTTTAACGACGAAGGTAATAAAAATGGAAATGAAATTTATTTTTTATAAATACTAATAGTCTTTTTTCCAGCTCGAGCTTTCGCTTGTTTATCAGCTTTCATTCCAAAGTATCTTCATAAATTTTTCTTGAAAGACAATTCTGCCGTTATACAAGAGTATCTAGGGAAGTTTTCGGAAATCATTGCATTCCATGATCCACAGTTAGCGAATCATTTGAAATCAATCAACTTTGTTCCAGAACTGTTTGCTATTCCTTGGTTTTTGACTATGTTTTCACGTAAATTTATTTTTACGTGAGATATATTTAAATATAAGCAGATAGTTTGAAATATTTGTGTATACTTTTTAGATGTATTTCCAATTCACAAAATTTTACATCTATGGGATAAGCTTCTGCTAGGCGACTCGTCTTTTCCACTCTTTGTTGGTCTGGCAATTCTGAAACAACTAAGAGATTCTCTACTGACATCCGGATTCAATGAGTGTATACTTTTATTTTCCGACCTCCCGGAAATAGACATTGAACAGTGCGTCAAAGACTCGATGTCGATGTACCAGAAAACTCCAGCGAGTATCACCTATCGCCGTCATCAGTATAATCAGTCAAAGGTATGATTTCAAATTTTACAATTTGTAAAAGTTCTAAACTATTGATATTTATGTTTGTAGGCTACCAGTTGGTCAGAGCCAGAACCTGGCACGGAAAAAATGACTCGTATCAGCGTAGATGATTATCTGGAGTTACTGGATACTGCACCCGGTAAAATTATTACTGTTGATATTCGTAACGTCATGCAGTAAGTATATAAGTGTATTCGATTATGCTTTCTCATATCTGTCTTGATCAAATATCAATGTATTATTGATATTTTTGTTATAATTCCTTATAAAGATTCGAGAGAGGTGCAGTAGCAGGTAGCATTAACATTCCATTCACCAACGTCCAATTGTCTCAAGTTCAAGTTACAACGCTCGGACCACAAGCAGCACCATTAGCTGAGAATAAAGACAAAATTGTTGTTATTATTGGTCCCAATGATCAGCACAACGCTCTAGTTCGTATTCCCACATCCAGACCAAACTAAAAAAAAGCATTCTCATGATTCTATTATATTTTAGTTTGCTGATTTCCTGGTAAGCTGTCAAGTATTCGGCGTCTGCTCGGTACAAGGTGGAATCTACGCTCTACGCTCAAAGGCTCCGAACATATTAATCCCAGCGCGCTAATTTTGTTAATTGCTCGTTCAATCAGTTGTAAAGAATTGTATACTTGCATATACATAGCATAATTACTCAACGACGAATCGTGTGCATAATATATCGTGTGCAGAGATCAATTTGTGATAAAAACTGAAAATATATATATTTATACACTTTACATACAAGCAGCTTTTCTTCTGATTTTCTACGTAATTGGAGCCCCTGCGATTTGAATCTCCCGGCAATCGCCGTTTCGTTACGACCTTTTACTTGCGTTGCCATGCCAACGTAATGCAAAACAGCACGCGCGCCTACTTTACTCTCTCACTCACTCTCTTTCTCTCTTTCGCTGTCTCCCAAATAGTAGTATCAGTACCTCTCGCGAACATGACCTGATACGTACGTGAAAAGGGTGCTGCTGCTGAGCCATGCACCGTAAAAAGACGACGAGCGGCAGTAGAACGTCGTCGGCGCGCTGCGAGAAATTGCCATGGACGACGACGACGAAGACGAAGACGATGCTGCTAAACGACGAGTTTCAGGCCGACGCGATCGACATTGTGCACCTAACAAACGTTCTGAAGCCACTGAACATCTCGCGGAAAATCAATCGGGAGTTCGCTCGCGATACTGATCTCATCGATGATCTGGCGACGAGTTCGCGCGCTGCTTCGTCAGCAACGAATTCACGGCCGGACACGGCGTTGTCGTACATCAGCGAGGACGACTGGGGTAGCACGAGCATCGACGAGATCGGCCAAATTATCGATCAAATGTCCAACGGTCGACCCGACCACGTGAGACTGGCCGGTTACGAAGCCATACTCGAGTCGGACCTGGCGAGTTTGCCGAGCAATCGGTCCTGGGACGCGCTGCTGAAGGTGCTCAGAGACGGTTTGGTCGACGGCAGAAGATCGGTGTTTGAGGCGAGTTTGCTGGCGCACGCCAAGCTGCTCAACTGCCAGCCGTTCGTCGACACTTACGCGAGCCTACTGGAAGCCTTCTCCGAGATCTATCACTCGAAGAAGCAGTTCGACACTCTGCCGACGGTCATAAGTGGCGTGAACTTTCGGATATTCCTGCACGAGAAGCTGTTCCGAGTGATGCGCCTGATACTGGATCAGCACGAGGAGATCCTGAAGACGGCTCGAGCCACGGACAAAGTCGCGGAGGAGGTGTCCGAGCGATTCGTGTCCTTCCTGTGCGTCAATTCCACGATGAGCTCGCATGCTTTCAACGCGCTGCACATAGTGTCGGTGATGGAGCCGCAGGCCGGCTGGAGCAGCAAGTGGATGCACGGCTTGGCCACGAGGCGCTGCCTATGCTCGGCAATGTCAAAGTCGCCGAGCCTCGCGCGAACCGTCGTTGCGCTGGCCAAGAGGTACCTGACCACTCCATCGACCGCCGTCTCGGTGACCTTGCGCGACGAACCGGCGGACCTCTACGTCTCGGGCGACTCCGTGGAGACGCTCACGTTCCTACACTGCCTTCACCTGGTCACTCAGCTGTGCGCCCACTCGAGCGGCCGTGCACTCCTGTCCGATACCCACCACGAGGACTCGTTCTCGGTGCCGGACTTCCTCGGCGAGCTGCTCGGAGCCCTCAACGTCCTTGCGTCGTCCGAGGCCAGCAACGCGCTCTACGGACAGGTGCGCTCGTCTCTGTTCGCGCTCCTCCGCCGCAATCTGGTACTGTACGACGCCAGGTTCCGTCGCTTGACCGTCAGCCCACTGCTGCAGTCGGAGGTGCGAATGTGGCCGCACACGCTCGATGTGCTTGCGCACATGTTGGACACCCAGGACGGGCCGGCGTTTCTCACCAGCGAGCAAAGAGTCGGCTCGGCGTCGATCGATGCCAGAAGTCCGAACTGCCCGGCGACGATCGTCATTTGTTACACGGCTTCGCTGATGAGGCAGCCACTCGCCGTTATGACCATGCCGCACGTCGTCGAGCTTTGCCGATTCATGAAAAAGCTGTTCGCCGATCACGAGGTCTACTGCGTCGTCGAGGAGGCTGTCAGACTGGAATTGTTTCCGAGCGTCAAGTGGATGTACGGTAGGCTCGACAAGTATTACGTGGAGAACGAGAATAAGACGCAGCAGCTAGACAAGTAGGTTCTCGTTTATTGTTTGCCAAGTTTCGAAGCGTAAAAAGCAAAAAGACATTTCGAATTTTCAGAGCGGTGCGAGAGATGCTATTGAGCGTGGTAGCGCAACCACTCGGCCTGCAGCTTCTGTCCAAAGAGTCGTTAATCTTCGACGAGTTGATTCGCGGTTCGATCGCCCCGGTGCGCCCATCGTGGAGCGCCTACGACGTCGTCGGCTTCGTCTCTAACTCGGGATACCTGACGCGAGGCACGCTGATCCTTGTGGATTTAGCTCCGCACGTATTGTCAACGTTACTGTCGGAAGTGAGCAAAAGCCTCGAAGATCCGAAACAATTTCACGATCCATGGGACAACGACGATGCCAAGGTTTTCCTGCACGTGCTCGCTCTGCTCTCTTTGAATACCAATTGTAAGTGACCTTTCGACGTGAACAACGCTTGCGCGTAAGCTTGAACGATCGAGAATGGATCGTTACTGTGCTCGCCTGAGCCAACCCGATTATCTGCCACTGATTATTTTTTTTTCCTTCCTTGAATAATTATGATTGATTCACGCAACCGATAGTTTCACACGCGACATTCAAATTAACCATACGACTTTTCACAATTGATTGTTTGCGTTGTTTGTTTAGGCTTTATGGCATTTATGACGACGGAACCTGGTGAAAACGACAGCGACGACGAGAAGAATTATCCGAAGAATTTGTACGAATTTTTTCATGTTTTTATCGATGTCGACTCGCCTTACCATCATCTCGGACTGTTAGCTCTGAAAACTGTGATTTGGAATTTGGACGTTTACATTTATCTGCGTTATTTACTCGATTTTGAGGTAAATGACAACAAGTTGGACGTTTGAAAAGCGGCGCGAAGAGGATCGTCGGTCTCGGTTGCGTTTGTTTAACGAAAGGTCGTCGCGTGATAATTTGCAGACGAAGCTTTTGCAATACCAAGAGTACGCGACGTTGATCAACGAGCCCGAAACGATCGACGAAGACGACGACGCGCACGCAGGCATGAGCCTCGAGCCGCCCGAGGAAGCCAGCGGTACGTACATCGTCGACGAGTGTAGCTTACTTCGTCACAACATTCTGTTGAATTGTTACTACGCGAAGCACAAGAGAGCACCGCCGTTGTCGACACCCGAAGATACACAGTTGTTCTCGACGATGCCACCACCCGTGGGGATCTACGACGACAGCGTGTCAATGAACGACGATAATAGCGTGCTAAACGACTGGCTGGAAAACAGCGGATACGGTCTGCTGAGGGATATGAGTTGGGTTGCACAGACTCAGAAAGCTCACAAAGCTTCGCCCGGACGCATCAAGGTATGGTTTCGTTCGCATGATCGTTTGTCGTCGATCATACTGGCTTTCACGCGCGTGAGAATAATTATTTCTCGAGTGAAGCCATAAACTTTGAGTACGGATGCGATAAGCAAGTGAAAAAAGAAAAAAATGTTTTATTCCGAAACGTACCAAAAGCAAACTATACGCTCCAGTTAGATAATCTTGGTCACGCAAGGTCGCGTAGTACTGAAATAAACACCATTCTCAAGCAAAATTCAATTCCCTCTGTTACCTCCCTTCGAGCTTAAAAAGAGTTTCAGTTTGCTTCTTTCTTTTTTTCTTTCAGAGCTCCGTGTTTCTAAACCTGCTAGCTCAGATGGCAAAAGCGATACCGACGGCCGAGTGGATGGATCGTTACCAGTGGAAGGATTTGAAATTTCGCGACAATTATTTCCTCCCAGAGGAAAAGCACGCGATGAATTTAGTAATTCACTACGGAGTGTTAAGTAAGCAAATCGAGAAGGCTAATGACACGGAAGACAATTTGCGAATGTTCATTCAATTGGCGCACAATTTGATCACTTACAACAAGGCTATACGCTACCAAGGCTTCGACTGGTTTTTGGCCACCGTGTTTCTCATCAGCCATGGCGATTTGGACAAGTAAGTAATTGCCTCAGTTGGCCGCGAATCGGCGTTGCGTCGACGAAAGAGTGATTTCTCGCCGATCATGATGAAATATCGACCGGTAAACAACGCCCGCTGGTCGATATTTATTTACTCAACGAGAAAAAATAACTTTAATGTCGTCTGCGAACGGACTCTAGCTAACCAAACTTCATCACTGGCAACATTGAAGGTCTCAGGTTGAAAACTTGGCCATCATAGTTTGAATATTTTATCAAACATTGACTCAGAAGTTTTGCGTCATCATTGACCTTATTTGCAATTTACGAACACAGGGCCAAAACGTGTATCACACAAATCATAAAATTCCCGTCAGCAGCCTTCATGTGGCCGGCTCTAGCACAAGTCGTCGATGAGACTGACGATCGAGAGGCTTCTACAAGACTTTTGTTCGCTCACATGCTCGAGACTATCGTCAATAACGAATTTCCTATAATCAAGTTCGCCCTAAAAGTAATTTCTTTTTTCTTGGAATATTGTAGCGTTTCCATTGATATTAACATGAGTATCTGTTTCCAGAGAGAGTGCGGACTCGATTGGTGGATGATTTGCGGCAGATTGTTAAATCAAAGTTTCTTAGGAATCCTTCCGTGGAGTGAAATTATGCACTTCTTTGCAATGTGCATACTGCATACGCCGGATTACATTGTATATTACTGTGTATCTCTGTTGAACCATTGCGAAGGCGAATTAATGAAAAATATTGTTAAAGGAAAAATGTGGCCTGAAGATTTGGTAAATGATTAATCGATTATCATTCATTTTCTGTTAACATTCCGGAAAAATTAAAAAGGAATATTTAATCTAGGTTCTTGAAGACTATCGCTGTCACAGTCAGATTGGGTTTATGGATCGGCTTAGCAAACGACACGGCGGCAAAGTTCTTCCACTTTTGACGCAAAGATCACTCAATTTAGAAAGTAAAGAGGATTAAGCGGGTATACAATCGATACGTCTCAAGTAAAAATGGAAATATAAATATACTATATTTTATACAGTTGTTAAATGGCCGTGCTTGTTGTTTTTTTAATAAAAATATAAAAAGAAACATAAAAGTTATATAACGCGAAGATATTGTAATTGGTATTTTTGTACGATAAAAAATATATAAAGGCAAAAGTGACTTTTAAAAAATGCATTTACATATGAATGTTAATATATCTATAATACACAATATCAGTGGGCATTATTGAAGGTACTTGTACATAATTTGTCAATCAATAAATGCTAACTATAAGTGCGTAACAAATTTATCTTTTCATTCATAAATGGCACCACAAAAATATTCAGCTATGGTCTTGGCTTTTATTATATTCCTACTAAAATTCATACGCATCAAGTTTAGCAAGGTCGATTAAATGCAGCTTTATTTTGATACTTTTGGCTATTTGAAGCTTGTAGAATGAATTTTTTAAATCAACCAAGAGTTCAACGTTCACCGGAATGAATCTTACGAAATTAAGTAATAAAGGTACAAATACCAGTTACCTCTTTCAACGCGATCAAAAAACAGTTAAAAAAACAGCTTTACACACGCGTATGTACAAAACAATGATTTCTAAATATATTTCATAGCTATGGATCTTTAGTCCTCATGAATAGCAAATAACTTTGCCGCTTCATTGATTTCCTCGTAAGTCGTTCCTCTTTTTAGTAACTAAAACAAATAGAAATTTTCATAGTCATCTCATTATAAAAATAAACGGAATAATTATTAATATTCTTACCTGTCTAGCGATGGACATACGATTAAAAATATTCCATAGGACAATACCGACGACCATATTATTACGTACATAGAAAACGACGCCCTTGCCGTAATCATCTAGTGTTTTCTGAGATTCTGACCCAGAATTTTGCTTGTTAGAATCAGTTTTACTAACAGCTTCTACCATCATGCCTGATTCTGCTTTAGGAACTGTCGTAATTTCTTCACTAACAGGTTTCTGTAAATAAAAGTTTTATAACAATCGCATAAAAACAAATTCATTTACACACACAATTCTTACTTCATCACCACTTGATCTAACTCCATCATGAGAAGTATTAACGGCAGCAGCTTTCGGCGTGTCTTCCTCCGTCGCCTTAGCAAACACTCCTACAGTCTCCAAACTTGAATCGATGATTCCAATAGCTTCGAAACCAACTTCTGGGCCAAGATCCGACCAGAACATTGACTGGTGTAAGTACGGTTTTCCTGCTCCGGTCATATTTTCACCAGCTAATCTTCCGGAAATTACTGCGTGATCGTGATGTTCAATTCTCCTTCTGCCCAGTTGCACATCATAGAAACATGCAGCATCACCGGCTACCCATAAGTTACTTCTCGCTTCTAATTCTGCGTTTACCAAAAAACCGCCTTGTTCAGGATCTACTTCTAAATTCGATTCTTTCGCTAGATCTGTGTTCGCGTGAACGCCAATTGCAACTACAACTTGATCTGCATCTAACTGTATAGGAAATAGTTAAAATATAAATATTGAATTTTATTGCAAAGAAAAATAATTGATGTATTAAGAAGCTTACAATTGAACCGTCGGTTAGAATAAGTGATAATCTACCACTTTTCATTGTGCAGTCGTGAACTTCGACGTTTGGTTTACAATGAACTCCTTGAATTATTGAATGCTTTGTTGTCCACTCACTCAAATATTCAGGCAAAACTTGAGCTAGTATGTTCTTTTCTTTGTAAATTTGATAGACTTGTTGATCCTCATATGAAACTGTAAATGAATAAAAAAATTGAAATAATGTATTTGTAAAGAGAACTCAATGGAAAAAGTAGTGTACAAAATATGAAAATTACGATTTCTCGCTAGAGACGTAGCTAGTTCTGAGCCCAAAAAACCTCCACCAACAACGACAATATTTTTAACATCAGAATTCTTGATATTTTGGACTAACTCAAGATAATCTTCTTTCGTTCTAAAGATTATGACTTTTTCTTTTACTTTTAGATCTGCTTTTTCAAATACAGATACGTTCTTTGCCGATGCACCTGTAAAGAAAAATATATATATATTAATAACTAAATATTTAATTACTTTAATATTGTAAAGCAAGAATTGCTGACCAGTTGCAATAAGGCATTTATCATATTTAATTTGATAACCGTCTTCCAAATAGGCAGTTTTGTTAGGCACATCGATTTTTTTAACATTCCATCCCGTAGCAACCGCTACACCTCCTTTCTCTGAACTTTCAAGTTCACCAACTTTTAAGTAAAATTCTGGAGGCTCATAGAATAGACTGTTGCGAAATTTTAAAATTTAGAATAGGTGGCAAAACAGAATAAAATTCTATATACTTTATGTTAATACCTTCGTTTGGTACCATTCCACTGTTTGAACATTAATTTAGGTGTCAAAACATCATCCTTATTGTACCACAGTTCCTTAGATAATGGAGGTCTCATGTATGGCAAGTCACCTTCACTGCTTATTACCAAAACCTGTAAAATAAAATAACACAATATCAAATCAATTCTCTATAGGTAAATCTCATCATTACTAATAAATACTTTACCTTAGCCTTAGGATCGCTAGATTTAATAGCTCGAAATGCTGAAAACGAAGCTGTACCACCACCTATTAATAAATAAGGTACTTCTGATGGTATTGAAGAAGAGTCATTTGGATTTGGAACAACCTTGGTTCTCTTCAATTCTGTGCCAATTGCTAAAAGTCATTATGAAATTAAATTGTTGAAATTTATTTAAGCTTGATCTTTTCTTGAGTATTCAAAACTTACTTTTCTTTTTCTTATCTTTGTCTTCCATAAACCATCCTAAATACTAAAAAATAAATTAAAAATTATTAGCCTCTCAATATTATTGATAGTGTGAACAATAGTAAATCGACTAATTGTAGTATATCTTTGAAAATATTATTAAAAATACTGTATTCACCACAACAGCTGATACACCAGCAAGAATGACTGCAGCAATAACATGCTTCCAATACTTGAATTCTGGACCTTTGCCATCTGGTCCACCAGGCTCGTAACAGTCATCTCTTATAGGGCACTTTGGTGGACAAGAGTAACTTGAATCTTCACATGGTGGAATGACTCTTTTTGGAATTTCTAAACCTGGTGGAGTTTGCACTGGTGGAGCAGAGGCATGTGGTGGAAGTGGCGGTGGAGGTGGTGGCAAAGGAGGAACCTTTTTAAATGTTTTTTTTGGAACACATTCATCTACTTTTGCTGTTGTGCCAGTTGGTTTTGTCCTTTTAGTTTTAGAACTATACCTTAGACAATTGATGTTTATGAAACCTAAAAATCATGAGTAGCATTGTTCACCAGTATTCGAAGAAATTCGGCACATCTAAGAAAATTATATTATTTAACAAATAACAATTAACAATAAATACATCAACAGAGTAAATTTGCATTTGGCATTGGGTTTGTTTACACGCTTCATATTTATACAACTAGGCATATTCACAATAAGCCCTTTATGTTTGTAAAACAATTAAAGTGTTTATGAAAAATTATAAAATCCAAATAACCTAAATAAAATTAATTTCTTATTCAAATGACCGTAGCACGAAGCATCCCTTGTCACATGAAAATTAAATCTACATATATAATTGAGTTGAGGTTATGGATAGTATTGCAAACTTCAGACATACGCTTAGTTTCTTATCGGAAACTATAGTCTCCTAGAAAATTTATCAAAATTCTACCGTATTAGACACTAAAACACCTTATCGTTAAGAAAACATTCATACTATCATTAATTGACCAGCATACAAAACCAGAAAACCGGACACCTCGGTATACTGAAATCGAATCAGTCAATAACAAAACAGTTAAAGTTAATAAGGAGAGGTACACATACCGAAAGGTTCGGATAAATTTTTATGGTGTGCGTGCCTGGTGATTCTAAATAATTGGCCGGCAACGCGTCCGTATCCCAACATTTTTGGTCGCCGACTATGATGTGCAGTATCACTAGATCAGAGTAGCACGAGGACCTGACGACGACAAAAACTTCGGTGGCTGCTTATGCAATATGGTGGCGCCGCGCATGCGCTCCAGCACGAATCGAGCTCAAGTCGAAACTTGTATGCCGCGATTTCCCGCCGTAGCCGACATCTCGTCGCGGCATCTTTCCATTAATTTCCGATATCTTGCTTTGCGTTTTTTGTTTAACAAGAAGACGAAGTATAATAATAATGTGAGTTTTGTTCAGACATGTTACGTGAAAGATTTGTCAGGTTATTAACTGCCAGCCGAATGATTTGTGTTTTGTTCTTTTACGTGATCATTTTTGCTATCCTTGGAGAGGCTGTGAGACTCGCTTGTGTTTTATACTTAATCAGAGTGTTTCCGGAATTATCCAAGTAAGGAAGACAACCAAGAAAACAATTTAGAGAAGAATTTGATAGGAAGGTGAGTTGACATCTATGGTTAAATTTATCATAAATATATTCGTGCGTGAATTTCTTGCAGCTTAATGAATGTTATTTCTTCCCTTTCCTATTCAAATGAGAAAAAATGTTATTCTTTTTTTTAAATTTAAAAGAAGCTAAATTATGCGTAATATCTATACTACACTATTGTTAAAATAGATTTTAGAATCTAATCTATGGGATAATAGCCGATATTAAAAAAAAAAGACTCGCATTATATCTAGCAATGAAGAATGAAAAAGTTAAGTCAATTTTTTCTGTAATTATAGTTACACCTGACCATAGCAGCGAGATATTACCCAAATCGTGAATATGAAAAAAAAGAGATACCAGTACTGTTGGTAATTGAACGATTCCGGTTACTTTACTTCTTCATAATATTTTTCTCATTTGAAAATAATGATACTTTTTAATATCATTTGAGAAAGAACATTTTTTTCATTTTCCAAAATATTGAATACCTATGATAATCGTATCAGCAATTGCAAATTTGTTTATCAGTATAACTCATTTATCGGTTTTCAATTTAATTATTTTTTTATTATTCACAATTGTAAGATAATAATGGAAAACGAAGCTAGTCGTTTGGCTTGTAAAAGATTTAAAAAAATTAGGATTTAAGAAAATTATATCAATTTATTATTCAGCCGTATGCGACATTTCTGTACTTTAAAGATCGACAATCTCGAATACAAGTTTACAGTCAAAATAATCCAATTAGAACTCGATGGTGTTTCGATAGTCCGCGGTCAGTGTATAATGTGAAAGATGAATATAAACAAATACACATGAAAAGATGAGCCGATCGAAAAGCTAGTAAGCTCGTTAACTGATTTACCTTTGTAATATAAGTTGTAATAAAAAATGTACAAACGCAGTAAAGGGAGGAAAAACTGAAGATCTATATGGTCGCAAAATACGTAGCTGCCCTCGAATACTGTTGTCATCCTACTGATGAACTATTCCCTCTTCAGCATGTATTTTCAAGGCTACTCTATTTTTATGAAGAGTTGTATTTCTACGTATCATTTGGAAAACGCTCGCAAGACATGTGTGCATGTATCGATTCTCCATAGTCGATGGTGGCAATAAATGCAAAATCAAGAGGCAAAAGCATGAACTCCGGTTTAAATTGAACTCTGGTCACTTGCCAATACAATGGCATGTCTAACGGAAAACTGTAGAATATGCGCGCAAAGGAAAATAGATGAGCTTCTGAAGGGGAGGAGTATGAATGACATGCAAAATGATATCTCGCTAAAGGGAAAGAAATGTAGTTGAGCCACTTCTTTAGCTAGCTTCAGTCACTTTTTTTACTCATTAAACGTTTCTTTTTTAATCGGAACAGCAAAGTTTTGGATACAGTCAATGTATGTTGTTGCCTCGACAGGTATTTCGATTGGAAAATCAATATTTTTATTTATATGTTAATATACATGCCCATGGGTAAGAAAATGTTGATTACGAATCAGAATTGGAAATGTAAGTTTGACTGTAAACTTAACACATGAAAAAAGATCATTCCAAAAAATTTTACGCATCGTAGGAATTCATCAAATTCATTAGACTTTCGAAGACGACGCTTGAGAAGGTGTGTAATATAATAAAACTCGACAACATTTATTAATGGAGATATTCTTTTTAATTATCGATCTAGTAACAACCTGGGATTTGATTATATTACAGTTGTTTCCTCGTTTTTCAATTGCAATAATATACGAATGACGGAAAAACAGGAAAAGAAATGTTGATATTTTCGACAATAGCGTCATTATCACCTACGATATACATAATAAAAACTCATTGTGTTTGTATTTTTTTGATATTCTCATTATAAATAATGTCATTACATTACATAACTATTACGATACTCATCATCTGATATAATTACAGTATCACTAAAGATTTTCTTTTAAAACGCTAAGATGTCCCGCAGACATGTCTCCGCGAGGATCTCGTTTTCGATAACTTTCTCATGGTCCACTTTGCGATGTACTAACAACAAGTGATATAGCAATAATTCATCGAAACATCTCCACTCTAACGAAAAAACATTAGAGCTCACAACGGTAATCGTCATTACTATTATATATCTATTATATTTTAATGAATCTCAGTCGACTAAAAAAAAGGAAATGAAAAAAGACGTCGAACTATAGATATATTGTTGCTTGCACTATACACATCGTATTACAATTCGCAGTCGAAGAAGAAAAATCAATATAACGTTCGATGTTTGGAAGAAGTCTTGAATTATCGTTTTTAGGCGTTTTGTTAAATTACGAGTGAGCTTTTTTCCTTTTCGTTCCGTCGCGCATCATCGAATCATCATCGCGTTTATGTACAAACTGTCGCGCGGCAGGAAATAAGCGAGAATAAGATGTCGGATTCGTTCGCAGATTTTCTTGCGCACTCACACACATGCACCCGAACGCTTGAGCTTTCACAGCCTTATATTACACGTATACCATATTCATATTTATTATTTATAAAACACCGACGTAAGCTTCGCCTCGTGGCATCACTCGTCGAGAATGAAAGATTATGTACGGCGTTACGACAGAAGAGAGACAACGTGGAAGCGGCGCTCTTTGTTGTGCGTTCGCTTTTCGGAAGGGACTCGACAGCTCTTACGAGGACAGTGCTAGGCCCAGGCGCGCCAGTACCATTTCCTTGCGTAGTCGCGTGATTTCCCAGTAGACGTCGTGCACTGCGAACAAGAGGCCATTACTTAATTAGGAACGTGCCACGAGTGACGACTCGGCGGAAATAATTGCTCGCCGGCATAATGTCCGTAGATCACTTGGCGGAGAACCGACGCTTTCGAGAACCAAACTTACCGGAGCTTTTGACGAGGCCACGCTCGATGTAACGCAGATAATTCAGGAAGTCGCACACGGCTATGATCTGGCAAAATAAAGCAAAAGACAAATGAGGGCGACGCGTTAAGCGCTTACAGACTGGCATTGACAACGAAGGCGATCGATCGCGCAAATTGAAGACTCACTCGGTTCCTGCAGATCTGCGATATGCAGTGCCACTGGTTCTCCTGATCGCTTATCCGCATCCGATAGTGGCATTGTCGTGGCGCCTCCAGCAGGGCGCACTTTCTGCAACGAGAGCAGTTTGCTTTAGCGAGGTTGAATTTTATCGGAGCTGTCGGCACGCGCGCCGTCATCGTCGTCGACGTCGAGCCGAAATAAGATAGCGGCGCTATAGTCTGTTTACCGAATTAATCGATAAGACGCGAGACTGCCTACGTCTCAGCGTCAAGTCTATTCGAAGCTGCAGACGAAAGTCTGCCGCGACGGTTGTAATCCGATTGCGGGCGAGCGCGCGATCAAGATTTTCACGGCGAGCGCGAGTTCGGTTGATAAAGAGGATAACTCACTTGGGGAAGCCCTGCTTGGCCTTGTCGCTGACGGCCTCGACGAAGATAATGCCGTCGAGCACGGCCTGTCGCACCTTGGCGCCGAGCTCGGCGTTGGGGAAGTCGAGGCAGAGGTCGATGTCCTCGCGGAAAATGCGCTCGACGAACGGCTCGCCCTTGTCGACGCAGGGGCTGGCCTTCCACCTGAGGAACTGGGCGTGCACGCGCGGATCCACCTCCAAGCCCAGCTCGCGGCTCTGCTGGTCGCGCTCCCTGCGAGCAGAGCGAGAAAGAGAGGGGGGTGGGTCGGTGAGTGGCGCGTCGCGCCGATCGGTCGCAGGTCCGCGACACTCGCGCTCGGCTCACCTCTCGCGCTTCTTCTCGCGCTCCCGGTGGCGCTCGCGCTCGCGGTCCAGATCCCTCTCGTAGGCGTCCTTGGCGGCGTCGCACGGCAGCGAGGCTCCCGGCTCGCGATGCGGCGAGTCCGGCGGCGAGCTCTCGCGGCCGTACTTGAGATTGAAGTGCGACGGCGAGCGCCGGTGGCGCTTGGCGAAGATGCCGCCGGTGGCCTGCTGCTGGCCGTCGTCCGCGGCCGGGGCCGACGACGAGCTGCAGATCTGCGGGTGCAGGTGCGGGTTCGGCCGCGCCGGTGTCGAGGTCAGCACCAGGGTCTTGAGGGCCGCCACCTCGGCCGCGAGCACTTCGGCCTTCATGCGGCTCTCCTCCAGCAGGCGCTCGGCCGTCGCCTGGCACTGATTCGCCTCGCGCACCATGTTGTGCGCCTCCTGGAGCGAGCGCGTCGTCGCGTGAATTACACGGGCGCGAGGCTCGCGCGCGAGGGAGCTCACCTGAAACAGGCTCGCGGTGAGCTCCTCCAGCTCGGCCTCGACGTCCTGCCTGATCCTCGACAGTCTGGCCACCTCCTCGTCCTTCAGTTTGAGCTCCTCGCGGGCGCGGCGCAGCTCGTCCTGCAGCTGGGCGATCTGCCGCTGGCCGTCGGTCTCGCTGGGCGCGCGTCCCCGCTGCGCCGCCGAGGGCGACGCCGGCTCGTGCTCGTCGCTCTCGCCGTCGGCCTCGCCCTTCGAGCCCGACTGCGAAGCCAATGCCGGTCAATGCGCCGTCTCCGACGCCTCGGCGCCCGCGCGCGCGTACTTACACTCCCGTCGAACTGGCCGTCCGCGCCAGCGGGGCCGTGACACTCGGGTGCCGGCTCCGGCGCGGTCCTGCTGCTCGGCGCCGACGGCTTGCCGCTGCCGTGGCACTTGTCCGAGCCGGCGGACGAGCGACGCCTCGGCGCCGTGGCGGCCAGTCGGGCGCCCTCGTTGAAGCTGAAAATCGCGAGCGGCGACGGCCTGCAAGGAGAAGCGCGCGCGTTGCAGTGCGGGCGAGCTCGCGACTTTGGCGCCCGCGACAGGGTGCGCGTCGCTCGGCCAATCGGCGCGCGGTACGCTCGCACTTGCCTCTCGCGGCCGAAGCCGGCGTCGTCGTCGTCGAAAAGACTGGTGGGCTCGTCGGGCTCGTCGCCGGCGTCCTTCTTGCAGGCCGCGGCGTTGCCGTAGCCGAACAGATCCGTGGCGGCGCGCGCGAGGTCGCTCTTGAGTATCATCGGGTGCGAGGCGCCGACCGCGTGGCAGCAGTCGGCCTCGTCGAGCTCGTCCTCGTCGCTCGTGTACTCCTCGTCGCCGGTCGTGCCCGTGCTGCCGGCGCGTCTGTGCTTCGTCGTCAGCGGCCGGTACGCGTACTCGCTGCTCGACGTCGTCGTCACGCCCGAGTCGCTCGAGTCCATCGAGCTTGGCTGCTGCACTGACTCTTGCGATTTCATTGGCGCGTCGTCGCCGCTGCTCACGTTGCTGGCTCTGCAACAATTTCGAAGGTTCGTCTAGGTAAATACGGCTGATTTTTCAATGTGTTTGTGCGCGCGCGCGCGCGTTCGAGAACGTAAATAGCTAGTTCGCCAAGTCAATAAACGCTGGCGAGCCGCGAGAGGAAGTTCAGGCATTCCAGAGGTTTCGTCGATATTTCCTCGTTTGAATTTTCAACGGCAGCTTCGCGCCGAGCGCAACGAAGAAGCGAAGCGCGAGAGAACGAACGCGCGTCGCGTGAGATTCATGCCGATTTTATCGCCAAGCGCGCGCGCGCCGTTCCGTTTCGCGGTGCGTGAACCGCGCGCGCATTTTTCTTCGCGACTCGGCCGTCGCGTTCGTAGACTCGCCGAAAGATCGCCGGCTGCGCGCGATGACCGACGATCGAGCTTCGTGGAAGCCTCGCGCGACAGCTCCGCGCCGTGAATTACTCGACGAGTAGAGAGAAAAGTCCTACGCAATTGAAACTCGGATCTCCCCTGTCCCTCCCCGTCCGATCGAATAAATCTACGGGCAGCATTGTCACTGACGAATGGCGAGGCATAACGATGATTAATACCCTTGCCTCGCGCGCGTAATATTACCGTGGACTCTAATCGGAAGGCTGACATTTTTCAGCGATGCACGCGAACTGGGAACGGAGCTCCTATCGTTCGACGCCGCACTGATTGTCCACGAGTCCGAGGATTCCTGATCGGCAAGTCGACGGGATCCGCACTTTCTTCGGCGCAATCGAATTCTTTCGCGTAGAGCGTCTTGGCGCAACGGCGGCAACGTTGCAGGCGGACGCGAGCCGCAGTTCTCGCGCGCGTACGCGAACGCAGCCAACGAGCGCTCGGGCGAGAGGGGGACGGACGGAAAAATTACAGGCCGTCGCCTGCGCGACTCGTCGGCAATGCGACTGTTGCGCGCGAGCGCGATGACCACGCGACGAGAGAGTCAATGAAGCAATTAATTTTCGTACCAGGTGCCGGGGAAGTGCGAATTGCCGGCCGCTGACGCAACTCCGAATTAAATGGCAAGCTCTTGGCTTCGCCTCGGACTGTGAGCTTGCCAATATCTCTACCTGCCTGGACGCGTAATGAACCTTTTCGCCCGTTTCACGGAAGCGCCGCGCACGCGTTGCCGATGACAGCGCGGCTCGCGGACCACCCGGTCGTCCTTGAAACGCGGCTGGGCGAGCTCGTTCCGCTCGCCGGGCTGATTGATGCGAGCGCGGAGAAGCGTAACCGGAATTTTTCCGTCGAACCGCTTTGCACTGCATTCCTGAATTGGGATTTTACGCGAGGATTTCATTTCTTTGTAGTCGTGACTGCAAATCAATGAACGCTCGTACAAATTGCTCTCAATCGCGCGGAGACGAGGCGTTCGAGCAGGAAATTTAGTTAAAAGTTTAAAGGCAATGCATTATTCACGATACATATTACGTGATTGAAAATGAGCGTTGAAAATCGTCATGGTTACTCGCTGATACGAAAATGGGACAATTGTATCGTATTCTGTCACGTCGTTAAAAACCTCTCTATAAAATGACACGAATGTCGCCTCCTCGAAATTGACGATGTTTGAAAAATCTTTCTGCGAACAAAATAATACAAAAAATAAACAGAAGCGTCGAAGCACGCAGGTGTGCGCAATGGGGGGAAAAACACGGGTTATAAGCCGAGCCTCAGAGCTTCTCGCCCAAGAAAAGAAAGAATTCTCGCGTCGCTCCTTCAAGGATACTTTTCCGCGGCGCGGCGTGGCCGTAACGAAGTTTCCGTTCCCACGCGATTGCACACTCTGCCGGCACGAGAGTAGAGAGGTCGCCGAGCAAACACACACACACACACACATATATATATATATATTTTTTTTTCCATGCACTTTAATCCATACGTTTGCTCTTTTCTTGTCCCTCGCGTTGCGAGGTGAATATCGCTACTACCATGATGAAACAGCCATTTATTCGTACATCCTTGGCGAGGAAGCGACGGGAAACAATCATTTTTCTCGCACGCACTAGCAGTTACGTCGCCGATGATCATTAGAAGCTCACCGCGGCCGCGTATCCCTGGGCCTCGAGCTCGGCGAGACGCGCGCGCGCCGAGCGAACGTACCTGTAGATCTTGCGCGCGAGTGTCGCTGAAAGGCACTGGCCGCTTATCGACGCGACTGCAAAAGCGACTTGAAGGTGCGTTCGGCGCGGAATGTAAGCCCTTCTCCAAGAAGACTTACGCGACGAGCATGTTTATATGAGACGAAGCCGAACGAACGCGCACGATAGAACGCTTCGCCTAGAGCCAAGCTCTCGTCGCGAACGCTGCCAATTTCGGATCTGTTCGCGCGCTTGCCCATCGCGGTCTCCGCTCCTTCCTCCTTCGGAGGATAATCGCGCGCTCGTGGTAATTTTTACGCGCACGCGCGTGTCACGACGCCATGCCGATGTCGACCGGCGAAACGACGGCCGATCTGGAATACGATTTTTGCGCGACTAACGACGAGCTCCCCGGCGCAATGAAGTACCAAGTCCCCTCCCGGGAATGTGTTATCGCGGCGACTTTTCGACACTTGGCGTTACAAAGCGTCGAACTGCGCGGCTCCCTTTTTTCTTTTCGGTTGTTTTGCAACTGTTCATGACATACTTCGCGTGTCTTTTTCTCTTTTCTGTTCTAGCCGTTGGCGAGAGTCGATAAAGAAGAAAAAACGAGTCGTAAAGGCTGCCGCCTTACGGCGAGTTGCTATTGACCTTTTTTTATGAGAACTCGTTTTCCAAAGAGTTTACTGATGTTTTTAGGGTCTTTTAGAAATTTCGTCGTTACGGGGACCAATCGGAGCACGAGAAATATGGCATTGCGAGCTTGACATTTTAACGTGCAATGATTATATTTTAAAAATTCGTTCTGAAAAGTAATTAAAAAAGAAAAAACTTAACTATTTTTTTAATTACGAAAAATGACATACGGAAAGAGAGAGAGAGAGAGAAAGAGAGAGAGATGGTACTGCGAGTATTTACCAACTTTAAATTTTTTTCGGAGGGCTTGTACTCTGGAGCTGTCTCGTAACGTTTCGCTCGAGGTTGCGCTAAAGAAAATTGATTGCCGCGCGTTACTGATCGACAGGTCGTCGCGTTCTTGGCGAACACACAACTTGTGGGGCTTTTCGGGAGCAAGTTCAAAGCGCACGACCGCCTCTATGAGTACAGGTATACAGTCGCAGGATCGCTCATTGATCGCGTCCTTTTAGTATGCCGATCACGTTTGCGGCGTTAAGTCACGCAAGAAGGGCAGGAAGGCTAATTGGATTTCCCGCGAGTATTAATTCCATTGCGCGTCATTGGCTACAACGAAAACACCGCGCGCACGAGTATCTCCTCGACAACGGCCACTAGCTGGGACGCGAGCTGGGATTCTTCGTCGAACGCCGCGCACTCTCGGCTGACGTTCCCCGTGTCCGCGACGTGCTCGAGGCGACGCCTCGCCGCGCGTCGGCTTCGCGCACGAAAGAGAGCAACAAAAAGGAAACGCATGTGAATTCACGTACACGCGTGCAAAGGGGGCAGACGCGCGGCGGAAGGAGGCCGGGCAGGGGGAGCAAACGGCGTCACGCTTTTAACTCGCGCCGTCTCCTCGCCTCGCAGCGGCGGACGGTGCACCGCCGCGGCCCATTAACTTTCGGAGCGAGCGCGCGCTCGAGCTTTTTGCTGGCGACAAGGTGCTGCGGCGCGCGCGCGCAAGTTTTTCAGTGAAAAGAGATCGCGAGTCGAATTGGCGCGATTCACTCGACGCGGCCGCGGCAGCCAGCATTCAGCATTCGGATTGCAAAACTCCGCCGCCGCCGCCGCCGTCGCCACCATCGTCGCCACCATCGTCGCCACCATCGTCGTCGCCGTCGCACGGAGCCTCGTTTCACCGAGCACTTTTCCGAAGTCCGATTTTCGCGCACGTAGCTTGCGCTCGAGCGTCTGCCCCTTCCTTGCTCTGCGTTGCTTTGCTTCGCGTGCCTCCGTGCACTGAGAGAAAGATCGATGCTCGGCGCCTTTGTACGCGCAGTCATTGACGCGCACGGCGACGTTATTCGCGCCAGCGATAGCGAAAACAAAGGAGCTTCGTAAGAAAGCGAAATCGTTCGGCTGTCGCTCGCGGGGGATGCTTTCGGCTGCGTACACGTACTTCCGGAGTTACAACGACAGACAGGCTGTCACGATGGGGATATACGTTAATGGGTTCGCCCATATTGTTATTCTTGGGCGGTGTGCTGCTGGCTTCGATAGGCTCTAATGGTCGGGAAAACAGTTCGATGCATCGGGCATTAAAGCTCGAACGAGTAGTCCACTCCAGGACCGAAACTCGCGCGGCGAATAAAATCGTCGCAAACAACGAACCAAAATTCTCGATGCGAAAAAAAGAAGAAAAATACGCCAGCGCAAAGAAGAAAGAATTCGCACAAAATGAGCAAACGTTGGAATTTCCCGGTCATTATTCCGCCACTGCTGGATGACGATAGACACACGTATGCACACGAGCTGAAGCGAAGGCCACGGTGTTCGAAGGCAAAAACAACACAAGAGAATGAGAGAGAGAGAGAGCGAGAGAGAGAGCAGCGAGCGTAGGCGAGCGATGTTGCACGTGCGAATGTACGTGTATAACAGGTGCGTACGCACGCGAACGGCAGACGCGCGTCGGAATGTTTGTTTGCTGTTTTTATTTTATTTCTTTCGACATTTTTTCGCTTTCTCGAACGATGAATTCCGGGTTACGAAGCGTATTGTCCCTCCGATTCGCCTCGGCGAGGCAACTTTCCATCTCGTGAAAAGCAAAAAAGATATACCGTTTGGTGCTGCGATAATGTAGAATGTCGCTTACACACACACACACACACACACACACACACACACACACACACACACACACACATACACACAGGGCAGGCGCGCGCGGTACCAAGCCGTGACTACTTCCACTTTTAGCGTTCGACGACGCGAGCGCGTGTACGTGTGTACGTGTGTGTGTGTGTGTGTGTGTGTCGAAAGTTTTCTCTTGGCAAGAAATCTCTCGTGCGCGGCGCAGCGCCGACCTACCCGTTAGACAACGACGTTCCTTCCAAGCCACCTGCATACTCTCCTACTACCATGCTGCCCCTCGTAATCAATTGCACATTGTCGCCCCGTCGCTCGTCGTCACCGAATACCCTACTGCTCGCGCGAAAATGAAGAAGCAGCAGCGCGCACACACGCACACACGGCACACACGGCGGCAGGCAGGCAGGCAGGCGACGCGCGAACGCAGCGCAGAGCTGGGGCGGGAGCCGAGAGTCGGACGGCAACTGAGCGCCGCCGCGCTCCGAAGGCGCGATGATCTTTCTCCGCGAGCGCGTTCGTCGTGTCTCTCCTCCCACTCCCCTCCGCGAGCGCCCGACCGCGCCGCGATTTCGCCTCTCCTCGCGCTCGCGTTACGCCGCTCTCCGGCACCGAAATCCTCTGCACTCCGCGCCTCGCGGCTCGCGCGATCTCGCGAACGCGACGCGCCTTGGCTTTCCGCACCGTACCCGATGCACCAAGCCGACGAACTTTTCCGAGATCGATGCCCGAAAGGGAACACCGGCGACGCGGCGCTGTTCGAGAGGCCGCGAACGCAAGCTCCAGCGGGAACTCTTGCAGACGCACGGTTCACCCTTTCACCGGTGAGTGTGCGTGCGCGCGTGTACAGTTACGTGCAATTCAATCGAGTTGAGCGCGAGCGGCTTGCCGCGAACCTCGCCCGCGCTGACTTTGTCTGCCAATATAGCCCCCCGGAAGGCGACTGCAGGCGACGGAACTCGCAACTCGCCGAATACGTTTAGTAAAGTCGAGCGCGCAACTGCGCGGCCGGCCGCTCGACCTTCCGACCGCAAAGCTTATCGGTCCGCAGTCGGCGTCTCACACCGACGTTCGTTGGCCGGAATGCAGGGCTCGAGAGAAGATTTTCAACGATAGCCGAGCTCGATCGGCGAGGGATTGCGCAACGTCGTGCGCGGCAATGGCGCTCGAACCTTCGATGGAGACCGACCGCGAGCTAGCCGGGCGGCGCGCGGCGCTGCGGCCCGAAATCATCGTCGCGAGCGAGCGCGCCGGCTAAACATATCCGGCAGCGAGCTCGGGCTCGGCGAGGGGAGCGAGAGGAGAGCGCGCCGTGCATGGGCTGGTTGAGAACCGCTCGGCGGGGCTCGATCGGGACTCGGTTGGGGCTCGTCCCCGCCGCGGCGGAGCCAGCGTGCTTTTCCGCGAGCGAGCCCGACCTTCGAGCAGCCGACATTGAACCGCTGCCAGAGAGCGCGCGCGCCAGCGGCGGCTTGTTTGCGCGGACGCGAGGGCTATTTCGGGGGTCGAGGCCCACTCGAGTGCCGGCCCCGACGGCGCTCGAGAATCGCGGGCGTTCTCGACGCCGCAACGCCAGCTGCGGCGCTCTGGAAACGAGCCGCGGTGGAGATAACGCTCGCGCGAGCTCGTGTGCCTCGCGCTCGACCCTGCCAACTTTCCAATGGAAGCGCAGGCCTCCTTCGGCCCGGTATACTTTCGCGTGTCAGTGCGATCGAAAAGGCGAAAAAAGAAATTGTATTGAACGCGAGGCGTGACTTGCGTGTCGCTCATATTAAGTCAAGAGAAAGCATTGTTTACGAAAAGAGAAGGAGGAAAAAAATTGCTTTCTCTCGTTATCCGCAGTCGCGATGTATTCGCGCGTATCTTCTTCTTCATCGTACTTTGTCTTCTCGGACTTCCCGGATGACGGTATAGTCGCTCTCGTGCCTGCTATTTTATTATCGCGCGCTGCTCCAATTTGCAATTAACGGTCCTGCGCTGAATGGCAATCATGTGTCTTTGGTTCTCTGAAAGTTCGACGCTCAACTTTCGCCGCACTATCGCGACGCTGCAATTCGCGCTCGTCGATAACCTGATACGCTGGTATAAATCACATGTTGTTATTCAAAGCGCGACATTACTCATGCTCTGGTAATGAGCTTTCATTCGCTTCTCCTACATCGAAAGTACAATCTAATTTTCACGCCCAACTAGAATTCGCCCAATTTCATCCATCACGCAGGCAATAAGATATCCTCTCGTCTATTTCGCGTGGGGAGGTCGATGCTATGCATCATGCGCGTGGGGTGTGGCGTACTCGACAATACTCATAATCGAACGATGGTGTATAGCCAAAAAAATAAACGCTAATGCTCCACGGAAATTGCAGCATTTCAGATTTGTAGGTGTATAAAATTCTTTTATTACGACGGAGATGACATGTAGAAAGGAGTGTCCGTAAGCAAGCGTCGGACGAACCGACGTCATCTCTGACATAACTCCGCTCCTTTGGGTATTCGGTTAAAATGGAAGCTTCTACAAACGCCAGCATGTATATCGCTGCACTCGCGACGACGAGATGTAATAACGCCACGATTACACCAACTGCGCGGGCATTGTCTCACGTATTTACTATGGTCGCTTTGTGACTCGACTGCCTTATCCCGTATGAAGCATCTCCGTTGTATTGTAATTGCCGAGAGAGTCGCGAAAAATATACGCATCGGTCATTCTCGCGCTGGCGATTCGACGAATGTACCTGGAAAAGTGTCGTGTCGCTCCACGAAGGTAATTTACGAACGAAAAGCTATTTCTTACGGTGACTTCCTTATCAAACTTGCCATGCACGCGTTTTTGCCAATACGCGAGTTATTAATTTTTTTGCCAATCAATCAATTTGTCACGACGACAACGTCAACGAGAAGAAAACATTCATATTTTCCTCAAGTCATACAGGCTGAAAGGCTATTTATTTTCTATTATTCTCGGAAAAAGAAAAGAAAAAGAGACGTGCAATCTATCGTCGATCCTTATCGGTGGTTCCTTGAAACTACCTAACTAAATGAAACTTTGCACGTTTGTTTTTGACATAAAGTTAAACATCTGTACCGAATTTTACGTCAACATAACAATCCTTTCGACAGTCATCAACGGTAAAAATAATGTCAGATGGTCGACTGAGAGTTTCAAGACTATACAAGGATCCAAACATTGCAATAATTTTCCGTCCAAACATCCAAATTAAAAACGCAATAAAAGAGAATTAGTTCAAACAAGTGTTTCGATCACTGTTGGATAATGTTTCTAATTCACTTAATAGTCTTTGTTACTGTACACTTTCCTCGTTCCTACACTCTACTTTCGTTGTAATGAACAGGAAGTGAGAAAAAAACGACTACATAATAGTTTCGCGATTAATGTGGTGGAAATTTGTCAAAATGTGCATGATCGATGCGAGTGCTCGTTTCTCAGATCTTCGGCTGGGAAGGAAAATGCACGTTCTTTTGAAAGTTGACGCAAACGTTTTTTTCATTTCAGTCGTGGATCGTTCTTTGTCTGAAAATGCAAAGGGTTCCTCGACAGGTGAACGTCCGATTATCGTAATTGTTGTAAGAGCGGTGATGGACGTTGATTTGAAAGGCATCCTTAACATTTGGATCGACATTTTGTATTATCGCAGCAACAACAGCAATCCGGAGCAGCGCAAGCGCGCCTCGCGTCAAGCGTTGCCCACCCAGGAACGTAATGTACGCGAGTCAACTGCGCGGGAATAAACGAGATCAATTATCCTCTGCTCTCCCAGCGATTGTTATAATCGAAAACACGGTCGAGTTGGCGCGCACATATATGCGCGCAATCGTTGTATCAAGCGCTGAAAATCCCAGGCGGAGAAATCGAGGACGAGCCTACTTCTCCGCAGCCTCGAAAGTGACTTCATTGTGCGTGCAATTAATCTCTCGCCACTCGTTTTTGTTCTCCCTTCGCGAGACGAGGTTGCAACGCAGGCGCCGCGCTTTGTGCACGGGAAACGAGGAAACGTACCGCTGGCAACTGCGCGCCTTTTATTTTCAATTTTCAAGGAAGATAGCAGTTTATTGCCGCGTTGGAACAGATGGGACATGCTTTTCATTGGATTTCGTCGGATTACAAATTGGAAATCTTCAATCTGTATCCTGCGAATCTTTAAAACGGAGGCATACGATAATTGAGCGTCTAGCCGATCAATTTTGTCTCTCTCTCTCTCTCTCCTTCTCTCTCCTCCTCCTCATCTTCCTCGAAGTAGAAAATTTCACCCGCGGGCGGATATGGCGGCTGGGGGGGGGGGATAAAAGAGGCAACAAGGACGTTACGAGGGTGGGAGACGTAAAGAGCAGATGGTAAATTTAGCCAAGGGTGAGGCGCCCTCGAGCGCTTTAAAACGACATTGCCCCTCTCGCAATTTCGTACGCGCGTACTTGCACATGTAGACGCGGCAAAGGAGCTTTTCCGTGGGCAAAAGCTCTCGGCGTACGCCGATGGGCCGCGCGTACGTATATGAATTTGAATTAAGCCTTAGCGAGCGCTTTTCTCTCGCGAAGAATCGATCGCTTGACCGCAAGCAACAATCGGGAAGCGACGAAAGAAGAAGGGACTATTCGCGGTCTGTACGCGGAGAACCGTTTCCACGAATCGCGTCGCAGCGAAGGAGGCGAAAATAGCCGAGGAACACTCGAGTGCGCACGGGCGTTCCATCCATTGACGACCCCATCGTCGTCATTACCCCGGAGCAGATCGCGCAAACACGCGCGACGGAGCGCCTATACCATATATACCGTTTTAATTGTCGGGGGACGGCAGCTTCCAGGCTACGCAAGTGGAAAAGTTCGATTTTCGCGCACTGCCCTCCCGGGCAAGGCCACTTTGCTTGCGCGCACCTGCAGCAGAACAGGAGTGGGGGAGTGAGGAAGTTTCTGCGGTCAACTGAAGCGTTTGTTCGAGGTAGGTGAAAGTCCGCGCGGCGCGAAAAGAGGAATGTTCACGGCGCTTGTCTACCGCTAGCGCGGCAAACGCTGCGAGCCGCCTCTCCGAGCAGTCTGCATAAAACGGAAAGCATCTCCGAACACGTATTACCGGTTTTTCGAACTTTGATTTCCGTGCGAGGATGTCTATCTCTTTTTTCTGGGTTGGAAAGGGGCGGATGTACAAAGAAGATTTGTTTGTTCGGTGGTTTTTTTGCATATTCGAGAGAGGGCATTGAGCGTTTGAATGGGTCCGCGATTCCAGAATGAAAGTCGAAAACATATGTCTTTTAGCCGGAATCGTTGTACTAGTTTTCTTTAGTTAAAATGGCGGATTAATAAGTCTCGTAAAAAAACAGAATAGACGATCGGGAAGGTATGTGCATTGTATAAATAACGAGACGAATTTATTTATATGAACGATAAATTTTACTATGCACGAAAAATCTCCCCGAAGTGCTAAAAAGTGGTAGAAGGCTGAAACTCTATTAAAACGTAACCTGTTTA